ACCCTTGTGTCACACCCCGAGCCGCTGTGTGCAAACCAGCCCAGGCAGCGCAGCTCACTAGTGCGCTTCTGCCGAATCTGGGCAGCTCCTTTCCATTGCTTGTTTAAAGCCCTGGACTCTGTTCAGACGGCAAACACTGAGGCCAAGTGAGATCTGTCCACTAAGAACTAGGACACTACCCCATTTCACACAGATCACTAAGCAGCCCTTGAAGAAAAGCGAAGAAGTGGTGATAAATCCAGGCCAGAGTTCTCTGATCATGCAGCAGTTCACCCCAAAAGAACCCGAAAGATCAAGCTGTGAGAAACCCAAAAGCAGGCTCCTTGACATACCTTTGTAGGGGAGCCCATTATAGTTGGCAAAGGGCTCCTCTGCATGAACTCGGACAGCTTTGGTGAGGATCTGAGCTGCCGGCAGTGCTGCAAGCCATGAATCTGCAGAGGCTGGCTGACTGGGTTATGACCGAAGTGAGCAACAAGAGGATCAGAGTGCTGCTTGGTTATCTTCTGCCTGCAGGAATGAAAATCTGACAGGTTGGGAGCACTGTGGAGCCGGGAGCCCATCCCTCGAGGAGAATGTTCAGGCGCTGAGGAACCTGGAGGGCCCAAACACAGCAACAAACCACATAATTCTCTGGTTCTAACCCAAAAAGCCAGCCTGATCCCAGGATCCATTCCTAAATCATCTACAGATCAAAACTTTCAAGTGGGTAGCTAAGGCTGGCACTCTAATTAGTGCCACAATCTGTTAGGCCTGACTGGGTTTTGACTCCACAGGAGGAAGAGACAGGCACAATAAGAACATAAATGTGTTGCTTCTTTCCTTCGCTGCAGCCCTTACAGAGCAAGGGGCCCTGACTGTCGCAGTTCAGCAGCAAGGAAATTACACATCAAGCGGGCCCTTTGGCAGAGGGGGAATTGGGGGCTTTGAGATGCTTTTCCTTCACTCAGCCTGTTGACTTCCAACTCACAAATCTGAGTTTCTGTGACACAGGATCCATCAGGACTGGAGGAGGCTGGCTGATGGGACATGAACAGATCAATCCCGACTCCTACCAGCATACAGAAATCCTGGCTGGCCAAGTATCACGAGAAGCTGCTGAAGGACCATACCCAACCTTGAATGCCCTGAGACTATGGTTCTGGCCTTATCCATAGGAATAACAAAGGAAGGTAAGGATCAACGCACCAGCAACAGGAATCCGGCTTCTCACTTCTGCTCCGAGAGACGAGGGGATAACACTCTGCCTGGGCTGCTCTGGGATTGTTCCAACTTTGAGGGAACACAATAAAGAAGTTTATTCAGTATTAAGTTTCCATAGGCAATAACAACACTATGCATCATTTGTTTTATGGAAAGATGCTAGTTTTTTCTCCCATCTTTGCAGCTGTGTAGTGAAAAGATCAACAACCCCGTAAAAGGAGGAAAAAAAAGCTGTCTGGTATTAGTTTAGCCAGTTTTAGTTTGACTTTGCCGTGATATTAATTCAGAGGGATAGAATATGAATATTCTGCATTTCCCCACCAGCAGGGACTAATAAATACAGGATCGGAGACACTAGGGATATAGAATAGCTAGTTACATCAGAGTCTGTCTTTTATAGAAAACAGCAAATTGCATCGGTTGCACACTGGTGTTTTTCTTATCCTTTTTCCACTTGTCAGCATCTGGATCGGGCTACCAGATATTCAGACAGCTACTTTTCAGTTTGAACAGTGAAATTCAAGCAGTTCCAAAGCTGGTCAGAGTTTTGTTCTGACAACTGGCTGACGTTTTTTCTCTTCTTCACTTACAGAAGTCCTTTTCAGAGGGCAACAAAATGTTTGATGCAGACACCAAAACAAAGCTTGCTTCTCCTGGGGCTAATAGGTATTTTCCTCTCCATTTTACTGAGGACAAAACATTTGCCAAATAATCTATTGAGGAGAGCCATGGGAGAATACAACAATCTGAATTCCCTATTACCTGGCAGCTACAGCTGGCCATAATCTCCCTCTTTCCTGTAAAGAGGCACATGATTTTATTAGGGCAGCAACATGCCAGTTGACATCTTACCTTGTGGTGATGGCATAAATGGCTTGGCACCGCCAAAGGAGAGCTTTCTAGAGCTGGGCACAGATCCATGCTCTCCAGGATAAGGAGGGGAAGCACCCGTTTTAGGAAAACCAAGAGGGCTTGTACTGCTAGACCTCCGGACTGTACCAGACCTTATAGGAAACAACAGCAGCACACATGTTATCCAGATGCCAGTGCAGAAGAGTAAACAGAACAGTATCACCAGACACACCCCCTCTCAGCTACTTCCACAGAACCAGAGATTCATGATGGTTTATCCTGGATCAAAATCCCACTGTTCTAGGACTACACCAATACAGATTAAGATGATAATGCTTGTTCTCAAGAGTTTCAATCCAAAAAGAAAGAACAATATTAGCTTAGCTGTAAGCAGGAAAGCCTGTCATTTTTCAGAAGTCACTTTTAGATACTTTCGGGTATCTACATCAATGCTGAACAAGACAAGAGTTTTGTATCTTGCCATGTCCAAGGTGTTTATTTTAGGCAATGTCTTCAGAATGCCCTGAGAGGGCTTTACTCAAGTGTCCCTCTTGTACTGAGCCACTCGCCCTTTTGTCAGAGCAGCCATGTATGTAGAAAGCTCCGTTGAGTGCAGGTTGTATGATGTAGACATAAGCTGTGCCAAAGGCACTGCTCTGCAACACAGCTTTGACTCAAATCAGAAGCTACAGAGCAAAACAGAGCAGTGTGTGGCTGTCAAATCTGAAACAGTTCAGTACTACCCAAAGGAATTTCTCTTTGGGCTGGATAGTCAGAATTGCCTGGTCTCCAAACTCCTTTAACTCCTTGTGAAGCCTCACCTTAGGGAATTAAAATGAATTTGTACCGCCCACCATGCAGGAACCTCAAGTATTACCCAGCTGCTAAAATAAAACAAAAGAGGAAACTAGACTAGGGGGAAAGTGAGTATAGCCACACCATCACTCTGGAAAGAGACGGGATTATTGTATATTAATTAATTATTTCTCAATATTTTCATGTTTTCACCATTAAGAACACACAACCTAAACTCTACTGAAATGCCATTCTGCCTCTGCAGGCTCCTTCACCAAGATTCCCATTACACTCCTCTATATGAGAGAACAGTCTTATCATCAAACCCTTCATTCTACTGTCAGTTTGGAAACATCTTTTCCTTGTGAAAAGAACATTAGTACCAGCCAGTGGGTGGTTTTCTGGACAGGAATCAATAAATATGCTGAAAAAAACCTCTGTGCTCAAGCCACTGAAAGATGCTCTCAGTCCCTCCCACTGACGCTGCATTAAGCTGTCCATACGTAACTGAACAGGAGAAACAAAGGCATATGGGTTTCAGCAGTGCTGGCAGGACTAGTTAGATCAGCTAGCTACATTACCCAGGAATGGCAAAGTCATCCTAATGAAGCATCAGGACATCTACTCAACAACACTACTAGATATATCTTTTACTTTATGCCACATTTCAGAAAATTAGTAAATAAATAAATAAAAGAAATAATAACCCAAACAAAAAAAAACAAACAACATATCTATTTCAGTAGTTGAGATATAAAGAATTTGATCCACCGCCCCTCCACACTGTCAATGTGTTACTACGTTTCTCAGCCAAATGAATCTGCGCTATATTCACATGTTTGGAGAAAGAGGAAATCCTTTAAAATCTTAACCTAAAAATTACTCCTCCTCAGGTTGCTCCAGATTCAGAAGCCTAACACTCATCAAGTGCCATACGCAACAAGGAAATGGACACCTGGCAAGGTGAAAAGATACCTAGACATTCAGTGGCAGAAAGTGTTGCTCCCCTATGTTTTTAGTTCTCCAGAATATGAGCCATCCAGAAGGCTGAATATTATCTATCACGAACTCGCAGAAAACAACACCAGCTGACAACCACTGCTGAAAGATGTGCAGTGTCAAAAGCCACCCTACAAGACATGGGATAAGCAAGCAAGCAAGCAGATGAGCAGGACAGGTGATGTGGCCAAAAGTACACACATATAATTACCACCTCAAGAAGCAATATATCTATCCGCAAAGAAGCTACGCTACACAGGCATACACCAGCCAGTCAGATGACAGTGGTCAACTTCTCAAGGTTTGTAGTCAAATGACTTGGCAAACGTGACGAGGCACTTGGCTGTAATGGCCTATTTGATACACCTGATGGAAAAGTGGAATCACATACTAAATGCTTGATGAAGATTTCTCCTTCCATTCCTGAAGGGTGTCTACTGAATTTGCTGATTAGAGGAAGTGATGGCGAGAGATAAATATGGCTTCCTGAGGCAGAAAAAAACCCATGATGCCAGAGATTTTGAGAAGATGCTAAAAGCAGAGCGTGAATCATCTGATTGCATCCATTCCTCGAGTTCCTCTGCAGGGATGATGCTAATCTCATCATTACACAGTGCTGACTAAAAGGAGCAAAACATGACAATTTGATCCCTGACTGGTAGCTGCAGGCTGTGAACCTGAACTCAGCAGCCTGTCACCGCGTCTGGACTATGCACAGTGTGCCTGGGTGCATCTTCTCCAGAGCTCTCACTTTAGACGTCACATGGATAACCAAGACTCTTTTGTGAGTTCCAACAATAACAGGGTCCACAAGTTTTGCTGTAAAAATACAAGGCACATAGGAAGCAGGCAAAACCTGCCACACACTCAAAGAAGTGAACATAAAACAGTATTAAAGTAACACTGTCACAAAACAATCTCTCTGCTGATCCCTGATTGATATCAGCATATTGTGTGTCTACTTCTGGGTTCACTTTGAATAAGCCTTATCGTGAATTAGGCTGGCTGAAGACCAAACTTAGGCTGACATAGGTATTACCGTACTTCTGAAATCTAAACTTTAACTCACCCAGATACCAAAGCAACTCACACAAAAAAAGACATGACACCTCACAGACACTTCTGTTTGAATGGCCCTGCTGTACAAACTCTTTAAGATCCTGTATGAGTCTCCTTCCAACCAGTCTACAACCTGGGCTGCTGCTGTCAACCCAGATTTCAAACAAGAACCAGAAATCATACGTGAGAAGAGACAGAAGTCCTGTGTGTCTTGGATGTACAAGGCATTACCACTGAACTCAGAGGGTCAGCTGTACGGCTGAAGGTTGGCATCCAGGTCTTTCTGACAGCCTTCAGAAAACGTGCTCTGCCTCATAGGCATAAATTGCTCATGACTTAATCAGTCCTGGCTGCATAACCACATTAATATGCAACTTGTGTAAGACACATCATCTATGGTGTGACTAGCTACAGGAACCAATTAAGGTAAAGGCAGGTAAGTTTTGCAGCCCCATCCATTTTAGTTGTTTATCTCAACTTTTTCCTTTTATGAAGGCATCTGCCAGATGGATGATTCTCTCTGCTTGGACACCCAAGCCATAGCTGACATGGGAAAAGCTGTCAGACTCAAAGGGGCTCAGTCTGCACTGAGAGTTGGCAGGAGCTGTCTCACAACCAAAATTTACAGTATGTGGTAACAAATAAATCTCAACACACTACAAAAAATACCCCAAAACTATGTTACCACGTAACACACATCACACTGGCTCTCTATAGCAAGGGGGAGAGCCCATCACACAGGGGAATTTTTAGAGGTACGGAGAACAAACTGTAAAGCAGTTTGTTTTACAACCCTCAAGCTGTAATACAAGACCCCTGCGCTGTCGTTACCCCCGTCTCCCAGCCCCAGCGCTTACCGTGGAGAGGCGTATTGATTGGGAGACTGCAGGTTCTGCTCAATCCGCCGGTAGTTATGAATTTGCGTTGGGACTGGAATGGGCACCGAGTGTCCGTACTTGCTGCTAGAAAACTGACCTGGCCGGCTGTTGGAAGGAGACACACAAAGAAAGCCTCTTGTAAGGGGTGGGCCTTCAACCAGGTAATTGGAGGTTTTATCTTCGTAAAGCAACTGTACACAGGGAGAGTCGGGTCGGCTGCTCTCAGCTTGTGGTTTATACTGGGAGGTGGTTCAAAGTCATATCAAAGGGAAGTGGCACCACACACCGCCTGTAAACAGGCACCTTTCTTCCAGCACGATTCCCACCCACAGACTGGAGTTAGAACATACACCCAAGCGCACCACTCCCTCCAGGAAAATTGGAGCCCTGCTATTTCAGGCCACAACTGGCCTAGTTTCCGACAGCTCAGATCCACAGCCAAAGAGCACATCACTGAACAGGGGCTCAACATTTGTGGCTCACAACGGACACCAGCAAAGACTTTTGCTGCCAAGAGCTACTCGCAATTCATGCAGAGGCTCTGCTGCAGCAATGGCATCTCCATCAAAGTCTCAGCACGCCACGAAGAGAATACAAACTTGCGGTGCCTATCAAAGTATCTGCAAGTTAACTACAGTTTGGAGAAGGTGACTTGGGAAAGAATAAATTTTGGGGACAGAAGCTGGTATCTATTTACCCATCAAGGTCAGCTAGAATATCACACACACATAATGGGAGAGGCCCATTCTGCAAAATTCAGACTTCTCTCTAGTTCCATCCAAGCAGGTTAATCAGCTCACGCCTGGTATCTACTCCCCGGGTGACAGCTTCCCCTGTTACTCTTAGCCTGTACACCATGCTATACACAAACCACGCAAACACCACATTTAACTAAGCAGCTGCCTAAAGGGCTTTCCCAAAGCTTCCAGAATTCTAGGATTAATTGCCATGGCAATGCTGTTTACAACTGCCAACACCAATTGCAGAGATGTTGCACAATTACAGAAAGATCTTATTGGTAATGAAGGTTTCTGCAGTCTTCCTTGTTGTCAGTCGAGGACATACGCCTGGGTCTGCCCCTGCAAAGCAGGAAGCATCACTTCTTCAGGTCTAACACTGAGTGGAACTCTTTTATGTAAGATGAAAGGAGATATTTAATTCAGCAAGAATATACACGCGTGCACAGGGGAAAAGAGTTTGTGATTTATTTGGCAGTTCAAAGCATCCCATTACCAGAATTTATTTTTTAAGGAAGGTCAGTAGTAGTCTGTGGCTTACAGTGACGGTGTCGAACAAAGCTGACCTGCAGGAATGTGTCTGCAGATCTCTACACTATGCATGTGAAGACACTCCTCCATCACAAAATAACTGGAAAAAAACTTTCATCAAAGCTGAAAGATCAAAAAGTGATTCAGATTTCTTCGTTCCTCTATCCATTTGTCTGCTAATTTTTAAGTTCTAAATATTCTTTCTTGTGAGCTCTTAAATATTTCTTCCAGCAAGAGAACAGACTCTTAATCTGATGTTTGTCTCTAAAAGGCAGCATGGAAGCCTTGATTCTTCATTGACAAGCAATAAAACAAAGGCATTCAAGGTTTCTGATTGCTCAGTGGAAAGGTGAGGCTTTGGTGTCTCTGCCTTCCATCAGTGTCAGACATGGTGTCAGACAGACATAAAGTGAATGGAGCTTTAACCAAGAAATCTGAGCATTAACGTCAAACTTTGTACCTACCCTGACTTCCAACGTACATTTCAAATGCTATCTTTTCCATGTGGTCAAAATCTTTTGGAGAAAAAGAAGTTCTCGGGTAAAAGGATCCTCCCTCGCCCCAAGAGTTATATCAAGTCCTTACAGGAGGCAGCTTTCTTCACAAGCTGCAAGTTGCAAAAGAAAGCATCCAAGTGAGCTGACATATACTAAACCTGCTAATTGGCCTCAAGCCTTAAAGAATACAAGTGACCATAGATTTGCAAAGACAAAGAGATAAAGCAGGGACAGGGAGTTTAATTACTTGGCAGTAATTAAAAGCTCTTTGCAAATGGTATTAAATCCATTGCTGTGGAATACATTCAATGAATTACCTTTCATTAGACTTATTAAGCATTTTCAAGATGGAAGTGTTTAAAAAAAAAGATAAATAGGAAAAAAAAAGATCAACTGTCAGCGTATTTTAATTCTGCCTAGTTTTTATGCTCTTAGTTAACAAGGAGAGCTGCTCTAGAGTGCACCATGATATCCTGAGGAAAGCCCACTGCTGGCCACTCTGAAATAGCCTTTGCTTTCTGTCCTAGTTGGACTGCATCCAGCGTTGCTTGCTACCCTAGAGCCACATATGAAAGGGAGAACTGCTGCTTGTGAGTGAGGAAAGACAGAGGGAGAGAAAACCAGGAGTCCTCTGTGCCAGCCAAGCCAAATGCTGAACGAACAGGCCTCACGACATCTACAGTGAAGGACACACCTGGGTGGCACCAGTTCAAAGCACTTTCGGGGACAGATCAAAGATCATGCTTTACACTCTGGATTTGGAGTGACGGCTCAAATCTTTCATTATTTATGTCTTATTCCCAGTCCTGGACAGGGTAGGAAGTAACTTTTCAGTGTTTCTTCAAAGCAGATAGAAAAGCGGGAAGTAGCATTAGAGGGTTTGGCATCTGCTCCACAGAAGCTGCTGGGAATGAGTAGAAAAGACAGCGAGAGCAGAGCTTGCTGCCAGATAGCCACTGGCATTGACTTGCCACCTTGTGATCCAGTTGAATATGATGAGGCCAGTTTGGTGAAGACAGTGGTGAATAGTGAATAGTAGGCAGTGTTTGTAGTGAATCTTTATGAATTTCCACTCACTGCTGTCCAGAAACAAGGCCAAATCCTTTAATAAAGACTGATCCCCAGAATGCAGAGGAATCGGTTAAGGAATAAGCTGTTAAAAAGCTTAGCAGGCGATGGCATAAGAAGCCTCATGCAATTAAACTCCACACTGTGGTACGTGCTTGCCAATTAATCTGATCACGTCAGCAAGGCTTTGAGCTATATTCTTCTCCTTCAAAATTGTATGCTTTGAGGCGATGTTTTGTCATTTTCTGGGCTCTGTTCATGTGACAAGTGTGTTCAACACAGCCTGGGACTACATTGCCTCCTTAAGAAAGATTTTGGGTCACCCATCTCCCAGTGTGAAGTCACCTTCAACTCTCTTTCTCCAACAGGTGCCATATTGACAGAACAGAAGATGAAAGCTGCCCTGCTTCCCCAGTAGGCAAGAACGAGATGGGAAGCAACACTGCCAGCTCCCTGCAAGCTAAGTACGTACCCTAAAGCTTCAAGCTCTAGCGTCAATGGGATCTCCTTCCACAGACCATTAACGTGATCTTCTGAACATAAACGTGTCTGGAGGCAGTGGCGGTGCTGGGCAGCTGGTGCTGTTGTGTGTGGGCAGCTGTCACCTGTGACATTTCTAAAGGCTAAAGCTGAGTTTATAGCAACTGGTTTGGTTAGAAGTGAACCTATGACCACGCCTGTTTGCACTTGTTACTCCTACTCCTGCCTCCCTTGTTACTAAAAAGGCCCGGGTAGCAGCATTACTTTATGCAGACATAGTGCAAGGAGATGTTCAGAGCTTCAAGCAAGCTACAAACAATTAAGTAGGCCCAGATCTGTCCTTCAACAGCAAAAGGGGAAGAGCAACACTCCTCCACATTTGCCCTCTTATCCTTTGCCCAGTAATTCAAGCCCGTGGTAGTTTCAGCCTTGGCTGAAGTGTTGCGCTCTAATTCACTGCATGAATTTAGAAGCAAGGGTCTTTAGCTGGAATACTCACCGCCTCTACAGGCCGAGCACAAAGGGGATGAGTAGCACGTATGTGCCAGTGGAGTACATTTACTTTCTGCTTTAGAATAATCCCTGGCTCCCCAGGGAACAGAGTTAATTCCAGCTCTACTGCATTCTCTCCTAGCCCCTCCTGAGGGCCAGAAGAGAGAGAGACAGGCTCTGTAGTTGGAACTGATTAGTGCCTGAGGCTGGGGAGTTTCTCCTGGTGTTTCTTGTTACCCTTTAATTAAGAGAGAGATGTGGATCTTGCCCAGCACACCAACATCTGTAAAATTCCCTCCTGGAAGTCAATGGGTGTTCAATTAATCAATGTTGCATAGTAATGACTGAGCAGTTTTTCTTACCTGGATGGGCTAGGAGAACTGCTGTATGGAGGTGAAGGAGATGGTGTCCTTCCCTGGCTTTCCAAGCCTGCTGAAGTCACCAGAGAACTCCTAAAGAATGACAGAAAGAACCCAGCTGTTAGAGCCTGGGAACCAACCCTGCCCTCCTCACCCCACAAAGCTCAGCACCCGCTGAGCCCTGGAGCCTGCCATGCTGCCCCACGTACACTCTGGTATTCAGGTGCCACATGTTGATGGTCAAACTGAAAATGGTCAGAACCAGGCAGGTGACAGCCATGCCTGAAACAAAAGTTAACTCAGCAACATCTTCCCTCCCATCCTCCAGAACCCAAAGGTCCCTAATGCACAGTATGCTCCAGTGGCTACGCAATTTTAGTTCTTAGTGCTCTTACCCGCTGTACATCAGACTGTCTTGGATTGGTTTCCCTCCTGCAGCCTCAGCAGTTAAATCACCTGAGGAACAAAGAAATGCAGAAAAATATTAGAGATAATTTTTTTTAAAATCTTATATATTCAGAGCAACTGAGATTTTGGGTAGAATTTCCTGCTCCTACAAGACCTGCCAAGCTGCTTCTGAAGTCATCATTTTGCCAAACACTTGTGGGCTGAAGCTGATGTGGATAATACTGATCCTTTTACCCTGAAGTTTCAGAGAACTTAGGCTGAAAGGGAGCCCTTTTGGAAGAGGGCAAAAACCTGACAGAAACATTTGGGGCAACAAGTATATGCCCACTTGGTGCAAGCAATTAGCTCCTTTGTAAAAACCCTGTGCTATATGTTGCATGTAGGACTTTGAAACATCTGTGCCCTAAGAGGCAAAAACCCCAGGTCAGCCAAATGAGCTGGCAGCTGGATACACAATACAGGGGAGTTTGTGCCTTTGCCAAAATGTCTGAACATTGGAAATATGAGTAGCACAAGACAAGTGTATACTGGTCTCATCGCTGTTTCCAGGAAAAATACAAGCAACACTGAGCTCTTCCTTATCATAACGATTGCACAACGGAGCCCTTCCACAGGTTCCAGTTCTACCCTTCCAAATTCCTGTATCAAAACATGTAGTGCAACTGTGGAAGGAGGAATTGCAGTCTTTATCACTCAAGTTCCAACTCAGCAAAGCATCAGACACATGGTCAAGGTTGAACAATACCCTTCTGCCGGTTAAGTAAGGACTTGTGCATGGACATACTGAGGCATGTGGCTGAACTGGGGACCTGGCCTCTATGTACATATATATTTTCAATCGATTCATGTCTAAGTATAAACACATATATGAAAAGAATAAAATGAAATTTGAGATGTTTGAAGAAAAATCCAACACCTTTTATTTTTTCTCAGGGATTTTTTCAAGTACAAAATCCAGCTTGCTAGCTGAAATCCTGTCTTAGGCTGTGATGCTGAGTGAAACTGAAGACAGGGTGACATGGGACCGGCTTCTGAGAGAGGAAGACATTTCCCTGTGAGCCTACTTATCTTCTTTTCCAGTTGGATTTCCAGGTTCAATCTCTTACTGAGGTCCCTAAATAATCCTTACTCTCAAATCCTATCTTTGAAGGCAATTATAAAATATCCTATGAAACCAGCCAGTGAGACAGATGTCTCTTCTACTTTGAGAACAAAAACATTCCTGTTATTCAGTCAAAACCAAGAGGTTTAACCACTCTTTTGACTTACTAGTAACTATCCTTAACATCCACATCCCCCTCTGCTCAGAACAACTGCATTTCCAGAAACCAGCTTACTTGAGAACTGTGCTGGGACCATCACGAAGTCATCTGTGTCACAGGACGAATTCTTACTGCTGCTTCCGGCGGAGTCCTTGGATCCATGCAGAAAGCCAGGGGAATCCTGGGTAGGAGATGCCAGCGCCTTCTCCTGCAGCTGCTGCTGCATCTCTCCAAGGGACTGCTAATTCAAGAAGAAAACAAACACTGGCTTCAGCACAGCTACTTCATCATTCTGCTCGATCCTTTAAACTGAGCTGTACAAGGCTACAAACAACATTTGGCTGATAAACCAGAGCTGATAGTTTGCCAGAAGCAGCTGTTTAGTTTACTGAAAAGGAACAGCCTTTTATGTCCATGACAGAACAGTGCATCTTTTGTTACACAAAGCATACTACCAGCATGTCTGATGCTCCCCAGATAAGGAAAATTCACTTGAGGTACTGCATCTCTCTGCTAAGGCTTTCTGGATCAACTGCCCATTTTCTACCAACTCAATTTAGTGTGGCTGTGAAACAGAGAAGAGCTTTCAGAGGCAGCTTTGGTTGTTCTTTTGGGTTATGGGGTTTTTTGTTTTGTTCTTAAACATTAAACATCTGGTCTCTACTCGTACTTCTGCAGTAAGCAGCACTCAGGAACGTGCACATAAGTGTCCCTGCACTTTCAGGACAACCCGGTTTTCCTGTAGCGCTGATAAGGAGTTAAAGAAAGGCACGAGGGAGCCTAAGCATTCAATAGATGAACACCTCACAGCCATCAGAGGCAGAACAGATCCTAAAAAGTCCCATTTTTCCACTTCCTTCAGCCAAATGGTGAACAGCCCCACAATGCTCATGTTTTGCAGACAGATGGAAGAGGCTGGATGGTTTAAGAAAGCTTTAAGACAGCTGAACTGCCCACAGAGCAGATCACAATCTTTATCCTAATGCATTTTTAGGCTGAGAAAGACTTCAATCAGCTTTCACTTGGGCCCTACTAAGACCTTCAGACCTTCTTCACCCTCCTGAGACTCTCCTGCTGTACCAGTGGCGACTCTCTCAGTGTACATGCAGTGCATACAAGCAGAAGGAATCTTCCAGCTGTCAAAGTTTTCTCTTTTCCACCCAATCTGCTAGCTCTGCCCTGCAGACATGGCATTCTTCACATGCTGAACCAGCACACATCCATGAGCAAAACTTCCAAATGCAGAGCAGGACCACTGCAGTACATTTCTAGTATAGGACCCCCTCCTGGTCTGGCTATGAGCCTGTACCATCCCTGAGCTTCCCAAACCAGGAAAGCTCAGGGGAGAGAGTCTGCTTTTCACACCTTCTACACACTCCTGGAGTCTTATGGCCAGGAGGGCCTCAGCTAACCACCACTTAGGGCTGCAGGGGAGAAAAAGCTCTCGGGGATACAGTTACGTGACATTCAGAGGAGAGCAGATTTCTCTGCTCTGTCCTGCTCACATCAACTTCTTATAGTGCTTCTCAGACTTTCCCACACCAGGCTGTGATGCCTTGGCCCAGGGAAACTCAGAGAAAGAAGCAAAAAAAGCTATGTCAAGGAGGAAAAAAATTCAACCCTTCTCCCTGCCCCTACCCATCACACCACCAGCATTCCTGAGTTCAAAGTCAAAAGGCAGATTTCACCAAGAGCCTCCGAAAACAAGTTTTCCGTTCAGTGAGCTGGAGGAATGTCAGTTCACTGGTCAGTTAATATTCTGCCCTCCAGAAAAGTTTTCATCATTTCAGGTAACCAGAGAGAAAAACCGTCAGTTCAGATCATCTCTCACAAGACCACCAGACTGTGGCAGGTCTGGTCTGAGCAAACAGCTTTTCTGAATGTCCCTCTGTGGTGCCTGGGAATGCTGGTCAGAAAGGAGGACGGTCACCTTACAACGAAGGGTGGATATGCTGTCAGGCGTGTGAGAACAGAGAACCTGCAGCCAAGTAAGCAGTGCTACACCCCGAATTAAGTGACTGTTTTTTTGGTTCCAAGGAGCTTTCCATCTCTGCCAAAACAAGCTAGTGTCATTAGTACCAACTTCTTTCATAAAGGGTTTTCATATAATAGGCAATAGCAAATTGAAATATTTCTTGTGGAGAGGAAGACAACCTTCAAGATCCAAACTCTAAACAGACTGGAGGAGACACCGAACCAAACCCAGGCAGAACTAAGGTGTTTAGTGACTTGCACCAGATGACAGCAAAAGCTTGTTTCAAAGAAGCAAGCAGGGAGACCATTAACACAAGCAGTGCATCCTCTGAGCTATACTTACGGGAGGTGATGCCAGGTGGGAAGTAGAAGAGCTGCTAGAGGAACTACCGGAGCCTGAACTGGGATAAGAAGGCATTGGCACGGAAGCAGCTAAAATCAGCAAAAGACCAAAACAAAGGAAGTTGTCAAACTAAGATCAATCAATAATAAAAGGTCTTTTTCATGTTTCCCATCAGATTTATCTCATGTACCATCATGTATCTCATGTATCAGATGTGTCCATTTGAGAAAAAAATTAGCATTCTGTTCAGTTATATGATTCACACCCATCCACTCCCTCTGCACACTATTTCACATTTACAGCTCTTGGGGTGGAAGGTCTCCAAACATCCGACCAAGATCTGATGTCTGCTCAACAGCTGACCTACACAGGTAGCAAGATGCTTTCTGCCCTAAAGAGCCTCCAAAGCATCTCTGCAAATGAAGGGAAAAATAAACAGAAAAGTGGACTGAGTTACTCATGTCAGTGGCAGAAGTTAGAAGCTACACCATACCCTTACAGTTTCTTCTTCTTCAGACTTCGTGGCTTAGCACACATACGTCAAATGCTGGGAAGTCTGTGCTAAGTTAACCACATGCCTACTCAAGTCCTATGTGCTTGCTGCCCAAACAGTCACTTGAGCATCCCAGGCCACATGTTATAAAAAAAACCCAACAACGTAGAATTAATCTCTCCACAAGGAAATAGTTCATCGCTCCCTATACCTCAACACACTCTCCCTCGGTCACTTCTGCAAGTTAAAGAAGTTTTGCTTATTTGCTGATTTTCTCTTTGTACAGAAATTGTTCCACAGCACTGCCTGGTTTTGCATCCCTTTTATGTTTTATTGTTCAATATCAGAACTGTCCACTTTATTCACTTCATTGTTGAACTGCATTTTGTAACCCTCACAGAGGTATAAACTTCACACTGAAAGGACTAGTTAGCACTGCCAGGCTCCAGGCAGAAAAGATAATTAAGGCATCACAGGAGAAAAGAGTATTTAACTCCAATGACTTATGCAAGCGAGGCTCAGTGAATGACGTAGAAGAGCTCAGCTCAGCTGAGGAGGGAGACAAGTCAAAGGTAACACTGGCTCTTTAACAGACTTTGAAGTATTTAGTATCAAATTCCCCAGTCCATCCGCACAAGACTGAACAGTGCAAAAGCTGCAGAAGAGTCCCAACACCTCCACTTCGAGGCAGCCTGAAGTCAGATTTTACTCTGCAATCATTTTGGTATTTGAATGACTTAAGATATAGATCAGAGGCCATGCTCAAGTACGGAGAGGAACACTTTGCTTCTCTTCCATTGTACTGGCAGAGAATTAGCACCTGGTATCAGATTTCTGCCTTTACAGGATCTGTGCTAATGACTCCGTACTTAATACAAGGAGGGTTAATAACATCCAGAAGAAGAATGCTTCTGTTTGAAGTAAGACTACCTCTGTCATTAATCGCATTAGATACTACAAAGTACTTACTCCAATCAACCAGCTAGAAAAAAAAAAAGTACATCTCTCTGCAATAAACCGTTGAAACAGTGTTCTAATGATAAAAGAATGAGAAAATATGCCTTTATTAAAAGGCTGTAAGAAGTCTTTCCATGCAGCCTATCAAGGAAGGTTAAAGGATGACTAGGTTAGTGTCTCCTAGCACAAAGAGAGCAATCACTTAAATGCTGAACTCTCTCAGTCTGACAGAAATGTAACAAGATCAAACAACAGGAAAACGAAGCCAAAGCAGCGTAGACTTAAAATACACATTTTTAATATAAGTAATCAACCACCGTTAACAGTTTAACCAGGGTCATAGTGACCTCTTTCCCCCTTTGCTAACACGAACAAAACCTGAATGTTTTTTCTAAAGAGGTTAATACTGCAGATAGAGATTGATTCAGCAGAGACCTGACGCTTGTGCAACAGGAAGCCGCAGCGGGGTGGCTGCGTGGGGCCGGTGTGCAGTGACACGCACGCACACGCCTTCCCGTCGCGTTGGACCGTACGGGCAGCGCTCACTCTGCCAGCGCGTTGAGCGTTAGGTCCATCATGAAACAGACCTTTCCAAAGCTTTGCGAGAGTCTGGTTTTTAGCCTCTGTATCTATTCTACGCTTGATTTTGTGCCCTCAGTGGAGCGTGCTGCTGAAACGCGCCGCCCTGGCTCCGGTAAAGGAGCAGGGGCCACGGTACCTGGCGGTGGTACCTGGCGGTGGGGATCCTGGGCGGGCGGTCAGGGGCTCGGCAGGGAGAGCTGCAGTGCCCACGCCCCGCGCGCTCCTCCAGCGCAGCTGGTTGCGCTGCCCACGCTCAGGGAACACGCACCGCGGTCCGAGAGCTCGCCGGCAAAATGGAGCGCTCTGTCCTGCCCTCGTCACTCCGCGTTTGATCTCCACTATCTCCCACGGAGAAACCCCTCGTACCTTCCCTATTTATTTAATACCAGAAACCTGAGGGAGGAGGAAATTGTCTTCATTTTTATCTTGCCAACTGTTACAGAACAATTCACCCTTGTACAGACAGACCTTCGTATTATGCAAAGGCGCTTTTAAGAACAGGTAAGTGATTTCTGAACTATATCCACACATGCCTGCTGAAAGCCTTGCATCACCGTTCATTTTTCCTGGAATCAGTATTTTTGTTAGTCATTTCAGTTCTCTTTCAAGGTCCCCTCCGCTTTGTTTTGGTTCTGTGTTTATTGCTGATTTAAACCTGGCTGGAATTGAGACTTTCCTATTTTTGTCTATGTGCTTTGGACAGCTTTCCATTAACTTGGGAAGACAGACAAGCGGGCGGACTTTGCCACTACTGTCTGAAATTCAAGTTAAAACCCCATCTGCATGAAGCACACCTTTAGATACAGCCTCTATTAATCATGTTCTTATTTAAAGCCCTGTAAAATCCTCCAATTCACACTGTAACGTTGTGAGGTCCAACTCAAAAGGTCCTGACACTAAAAACAGACTTTCATGCACGTGGAACCACAAGGTTTGGCTCTGACAAACCCTCTCTGGCCACCGCATGCCTGTTGGTGCATTTTTCAGTGTCAGCCATGCAGGACGGCTTGAAAGCAAGACGCTTGCTTCCATCTCCTCCACACACCCAGACACTCCCAGTTTAAAATTAAAAAGGGTGCAAACACTTGGCTCATCATGTTTTCAGCTCAAGTCTGAACGCAGGGAATGTTAACATGAATTGTAGGCCCCCACCCAAATCCAGAAACTGCTGGATTGTAATTGTAATGTAAATAAGTCTGTTTTCATAATTGTCCTCTCCAAACTTGTTCCAGCAACAAAATAGTCATCCTGTATATGTTGCGTAACCAATGCCAACTGGTTTCAAAATGGGAGAGCTGGAAGCCATAAAGGCAAGCCTGTGCTCCAGCTGTGTGGGTCCCAAAACAGGATCCTACACCTGCAAAAATCAGTTCTGACAAGTCATCCTACCAGGGGCTCAGCTGTCCTAAAAACATCCCAGCCTCAAGCTTTATAGAAATGCTTTATTTGAAATCCTAGTTTTACACACACTGAAGAGATGCATTTTTGCTATTATCTGGATTCAATTAAAACAAGTAATCAAAAAGTTATTTAACTGCAGTCTCTGACAAGGCAATAGTTAAGTGCAAAAACTGAAAAGGATTTGCCTGAAGAATAAGCTGCATTTTAGAGGTTAAAAATTTGCACCATTAAAATCTTTATATGCAGAAGTCAGTGATTTTTTTGCTAGTTGTTACTTGAGTATTTTATAAGATGATAAATGTGGTAATGTACGATAAGATTACAAAGGTGGTAAAAGTCCAGTTAAGCCTGACATGTTCCAGGCACTGAACCACCCTTACACTTCTGAACCATAACCGCTCACGTTTCACGCTCTCTTCGCTCAGAGTAAAGGAGGTACCAGCTTGCCATTCATTAAAGGCAGGAGTAAAAAGGCCTCCAAAATATACTGCACGGGTACCAATTACAACGTGTTTACTGAAAGAAGACTTGCACAAGCGTTTAATTATGCCTCCTCATGCATTATTACTGTAACACACTGCCCCATACCATATGCTGATCAGACCTGGCTACAGACAGACGACATGCTGACTAGACGCAGTATTTTAAAGACTTTATTAACAATTTTTGCACATCTGAAGTACATGCTTAGTCACAGGTACAAAACCCACAATATAAAATAAGATATAAACAAACAAACAAAAAATAAAGTACATGTTTTAGTTAAAGCCCAAGGCCCTGAACCCACTCTCCAGGCTAAAGCCTGTGGCAAACAGAGCTTTGTGGTACATGCCGCGTGGCAGCAGACTTATGTCCTTGCTTCATCAAAGGAGTGAGATGACAGGAGGGACAAGAGAACGATCACCACTCGAAACAGCAGTGGAGAGAATGAGCTTGTCAGAAATGTTGTATTTAAAGACTTTTGACAGAAATGTCGATTTTGCTGAAGTGTCTTGAAAACCATGCAAATTTATTTACACGAGGGGGATCCCCCACTTTAGCAACTTCAAAACTATCCACTTAGAGAATTGTCCACACTTGAGGATTCCCCAATTTTCTGGAATTCCAAAGTTACGTTATATTAAAAAAACCTGTATAATTCCATGAGATGGTGTACTAACATATCCACACGGAATGAACAGCTGATGGCTCTCACTTCATTTCTGATTGTTGCATGACGAGCTCTGGACCAGCCCTGACAGGGCTCAGAAGCCCGGGCGACGTGCTCGCTCTGCACGCTGGTGGTGGCTCTCCCGTTCTGCCTTCGCCACCGAGGGCAGATTTGCCTGCAGAGGTACGGAGACCACCACGCTCTGCTCAGACTGCAAAATGTTCTCATATGGAAAGGAAGTGTGTCACCTTAAAATTGGTTTGGGACCTAAATGGATGCACAGGTGACTGCATCTGCAGTGCAGGCACCTCTGAACTGGAAGGTCCTTTACCTAATGGCTGCACAGCGGGTCCCTGAGCTTAGCTGAGGTCTCAGTGCATTCATCATGCAACAGCTACCACTCCAAAACACAAATGCTGGTCCAGATCATCCAACAAGCTCTTCTCAAGAAATGTGCACACTCAAACGTGAATTACTTCGCTCTGCTTCCAAAGTCAGTGGCAGCCCAATTACCAGCTCCCAAGGAGAACAAAAACACGAGGGCATACTGTTCCTCCCTCTGGTTCTCCACTGCAGGCCTGAGGACTCTTAATTCAGTCTGAGCACGACCATCATGATTCAGGTGCAGCCATATCTCTTCTCTTTGATACTTCCCACACTCATGATGCTGAGCCACATATTGAGATGAAGTAGCACAATAAGCTTTTGGACTCATCTTAGTTCTGCATGCAAAGCCAGGGTAGCCAACCCCTGAGCAACTGCAACCTTGCCGAGTCATCTACTTCAGCTAAAACTGCGCAAATGTTGAGCACGCTACCAGGTTAAGCAGCATTCCATACATTTCAGGTGAGTTTTTCTTGCTGAGATCACCATAACCCAGACCTTTGCTGACACATGGGCTCTTCTGTCACCCGTTCAGAAATCAAAAGGACCACCATTCTCACATGCAGCCTCTCTCATCCAGGCTCTTCACTGCACTTCCCAGAGGCCTTCATCCCTCACTGCCGTCTGGCACTAGCAGAGACCTCCACAGCAGACTATAAGAACCATCTTCTCCACTAGCATATTTCTGTGCGCAACAACCTGAAGACCTCCAGTGATGAGGAGGTATTTCTCCCCTCATCTTTTCAAAACCAGCAGTAGTCTCTCCTGCCTGGACAGGACTCCAGGCTGTGGACATATGCACAGAGGTGAGGACCAGCAGGGCAGCAGAGAGGTCTGGAGTTTGCATAGTCCTTACCTGCCTGCAAAGGTGCTCTTTTTATTGGGCCTTGACCCCACACCACTAACTTTGGTGCAGCTGGGGGCAAAGGCTGAGCTACGGTCCTCTGCTCATAATGGTGCCTCTGGTTTCTGCACCGCAAATGTGCTGAAGTTGGAAACTGAGGCCAAGTCAAGAGAACCCTCTCGTGTCTGCAGGGGGTTTTCTGTTCCCCTGGCCGATGAAGCAGCGGAACCGCGGGAGGGAAGAGGTGAGCTGGCAGGCATGCAAGGACGTGCTGAGGCAGCCCTCCTCTGCCCACAGGGGCATCAGACTTTGAAGGGCTTTTCCCACATGGCAGGGGTACAGCAGGTGCCGAGAGCTGAGCCGGCATGGGAGCAGTCCTACACGGACAGAGTCCTTCCCTGCCCGCAGAGCCGTCCTGTTTCACAGGACTCGCCCCACATCTTGCTGGCGCAGATGGAGACAGGGGCCTGGCTGGCTTGCAAGCTCTCCTAAACCAGAAGCGTCTTTTCCTGCCCACAGGACGGTCACCTAAGTACACAGTTAAAATCCGTATCAGGAACAACTAAGAAGTCCTGCTCTGGAACCAGGAAAGCTAAGAGCCTGTCAGGAGTGATGTGAACATCAGACGAGGGGCATCCATGCACGGCATATATCCAAGAGGGGCTCCATGTTCAGAAAGCATCGGATATGCTTCCTCTGAAACTTCCAGCCCTTGCACTGGGCACCCCAAATCAGTCACTGATGAAAATTCTTGGCACTGTCAGTTACTTAGGAGATTAAAGGCCCAGGAGGATCCTTCCAGAAGGCGCCAACCATACACAATTCCACTAAACCAAGTCACTTGGCCAGAGGACTATTATATCACATACACTAGAAACAATTCTGAATTGTTTTCCACTGAAAACAAACTTCTGAATCATACTACATGTGGTTGGAATTTCTCAAAATTTTTCAAAATCAGAAGAAGAAAGAAAGAACTTTCAATGGAAATCTGTCTCTGTTTTAGCCAGTTCTCATAGAGCACCTGAATTTAACCCTTCTACGATAAGATTGATCAAGAATTTGGAGGTAAATGCTGCAACAAGATTTGGTAACCAGAGCCTGCCATTTTGCACAGCCAACCTAAGGTACCACCTGGCAAGCAGGGACAAGAGTGCCAGTTTCCATCATTCACTGTCCTGAATTATCCTACAGATGTGGATTAAAAGCAAGATCGTACTGCATAATCCTGTTTACCTACAAGCATCCTACTGGCCAAGCACTTCATACAAAGCAGCTGAATACATTTCAAAGCGACATTGACTTCTACTTTAGGTTTCTAAATAGCCCCCTAATGATCTCTTTGAAGATAGCTCAGCAAAATTAAATACATTTTGATGGCAAAATCTAGACATGACACAGTAACAAACAGTGAATCCCTGCCTAAATAATTAAGAAAACAAAGCAGTCTTTCTTTCCTTTTGAACTAGCAGCAAAGGGAAGTCATGTCATGATTCAAAAAGAATTGTAATAAAAAAATGCAACACTTACATTTTTTCATAGAGGCACTTGCATCCAAGAACGGGTGATGGAAAAATTCATCTGAAAAAAAAAAATCAAGAACAATGACTCAATGAAAAATAATGACTGTAAGAGGTTTACAAAGCATTTAAAGCATAGCACATTACAGTATTTTACAGTGATTTTTTCCACGGAATCCAGTTAACCATGGAAGTTGACTGACTGCAATTGCATAAAGTAGTGGTCAAGAATGTAGACTGGGGACTGGATGCAGGACCTACCTATAAAAAAAAAGGGGGTGGGAAATTATTTGCATCCAGGGATTGATATCCAAGTCTGGAAAAAAGAAAAAGCGGCTCCTCTGCTACCAGCCATCTCTGCAAAATCAGCTGGGGGGCAGGGAGCAAAGATATGAACTCAGCTGGGGCAGTTACATGAATGACAAAAGGGAGAGAAAAAATATCTTTGCCAAAAGCATGGCCAAAGGACATCAGGATTTGTACCTTGGGACTCACCACCAGTACTAACGGATTTTTTCTTCCCCACAGGGTGTTAAAGAACTTAGTAAGGTTCTGCTGCAAACTACAACCCTGGGCTGCCAGGAAGCATGCACAAAATTGACTGCTAATGCTCCTCTGTCTTGCAACAACTCTTACACTTGTAGGAATGGGAATCAGTTATTGAGGGCCAGATAGTGTGACTATGTCGAGACCTGGCGTGGCCACATCTGTGCATGTGCATCACAAGCTCCTATCAGCAAGAAGAGAGAAATCCTAAGGCACAAAGTAGCGCTAAAAGACAAAGTCCCTGGCTGATCAGGATGGCAAATCACCCTAATTGTAGGGATCCAGGGCAGCTGTAGTTATCACACTGTGCTGCCACTCATTCCACTGAAGAGGAATGATGGACAAAAGGACTTCCACTGAGTGATCCTCCATCACACACAGACCCAAGCCCATCGTGCACTGAAGGCAGAAGCGCATTTTCTAAAAGGCTACCACAGAACAACAGCCCAGAACTCCCTTTCACACCAGACACAACTGCTTCTTTCTTCACTCATTACAGGAGGATATTCTACAGATCCAGGCCAAGAAAAGCTTCTGTCCTGGCTTGCTGGAGACCCTCTGCATGTTCACCTGTCTTCACAAGTAGCCAACCCTCCTGACTCCTCCATCTCCGATCCACTACAGTTCTACACAGAGTCCTCTCCTACCACAATCAGCAACTCAGCCTTTCAGGAGCATTAGTCATGGATCAACACTGATTATTTGGCTAACTGCAGGCAGTTCAACTTGTTTTCCCAAGCATGGATTTCCTGTTGCAACACCCAAGGTTTACAAACTTCTGCTTTCTGTAAACAGCTCCTCTTTAGCCAGTGAGCTTTCCAGAAAGTCGTAACTGTGTTTTTTGTTCATCTGTTTTTTAAACTTAAACAATCCCTCTCTTCCTAACCCCTCCTTGCTGCTGCCATGCCAGTGTCCTGCAGCCAGAGCACACTGGTCTGGAGTTCAGCACAACAGAAGTGATGGAAATCTCTAGCAGAGAAAGCTGGAATCTCACAGTTTAGATCTGCTGTGGATGGAGAACATCCCTATCCTGCCTTGAGCTGCTCAGCTGCTGGAGTTTCCTGCTTCTTCAGCCTGCTCTTCTAGAGGGTACCATCGCTTAGATGAGCTGATTCAATTGAAGAGGTGGAAATCATGATTTCTTTCACTTTTCCTCTTCCCCCTTCCAAACTGCTTATTAATTGTGCTTGCAAAGCAAAATTTAACAACCCTGCTTGTAATCATCAGCAGGAAACTTGCAACTTGAAACCCTCTTGGCTCTCCTCTAGATAATCTTAAGGTTACCAGGAACTGGTGGTCTTTGCAGAAGAGCAGCTGAGACACAACAAGTAAATGAAATTTCAAGCTTATGTGTTGCTGTTATGTGAATCAATTAAACTCTGGGGGAGCTCCATGGAGGGCACTGCACACACCTCCAGGCAGACTACAGAGGGAACTCAGGAGAACAAGGAGCAGCAGGACACCCTGCTCCTCTGGGGACGGTAGCTCAGGAAATCATCCCTGACCCAGCAGCATGCACAAGTCTTCACCTTACAAAAGCACAGGAAGGTAGAACAGTGAACAAAGGCACCAGCCATCAGCAGACCTTCTATAAATAGTGTAGGTGAAGAGAGCAGCCTACGGTTAGTTTGCTAGTAGCGTGACAAAGCACTTGTCTACTGGGAGCCGTCTAAGAGAAGGGGGAGATCTGTTTCAGACAGGATCTGGAGCTGTGGGACATTAGAAGTTTGTGCACAGATGGCCACAGACAGCCACTGAAAACATGACAATAGTTGGGCACAGGGAAGTGCTCTCATTTAAATATTGCTACTATTTTGGCAAGGGGCATCACCTTGAGGTGTCCTGAGCTGACACTCTTCAGAAAAGGAAAAAGGGACCATTCAGCAGGTGTAGGTCAGAGCATTTCCAAGCCCTCAGGAGCATAGAAGAGTGGAAGACCTAGCACCAGCAGAGAGTGGGGAAAGGAAAACAGTTGTGTCACATGCACGGGGGAAGCTCAGATGCTTCAACAGATTTCCAAAGGGTCAGAGGAGAGGAGGCAGGGGTGGATGAGAACAAGAATGCAACTGGAGATGCTGAAGAAGTGTATTGGTCTAAATAAATCATGGCTCTGGTGCTTGCTTTCCTCTCAACCAACAGGAGACATTGTAATAAATACAACATAGGATGCCAGAAAACCATTGAGATCTGCCTTCTATAAAGCACAAGGAACATCTCAAATATAGGCTTCTGTATAGAATATATTTGCAAACACTCCCTGAGAAACAATTGCATCTTACAAGGATGTGACAATTTGTAGAGAAAACAATCCCACATCTGATTAAGCCAGGCAAAAATCTCAGTGCAGGAAGATGTGCTGCAACTGTTGTCCTGAGTGAAATCAAAGTATATTATCTCAGATTTCCAAGTGTTAGACACTGACTCATGCACTCTACTCCCAAGAGGAGCAAAAACATCTTAAGGGGAAGCTAAAATGTTTACCAGACTCAGTTTCTGACAGCAGGGAAACAGGAACCTCAAAGATATTTTCTTCTTAAATGCACAGCAACATGATAGAAGAGGTAGAGATCCACAGCCCAGATAGAAGATCTGCGGGGAATAATACTGAGAGGTGCTTATATCCAAGTCGGTGTCAGTAGCTTCAACAACTCCCTTGTTTTCACACTTCTGCACCCCAGTAACTATTAGTCCTTTACATTCAGCCCTAGATAATTATGATCAGCCTTGATAATCCACATGCTTGCTTCACCCAGGTGACACTGTCCCCAGAAAGGCTTTCCAAGTATCTCTAATCCAAAAGAGTAACAGAGGCTGCAAAACAATTTCTCTTCAGCAACCAGCATATGCTGCCCAGCAGGAAACAACCCACCTGAGCAGATAAGCAACAAAACACCAACAGAAGAAAAGACAGAAATAGCAAACCCTTTTACCCCAAGCCTCACTAAAAAGCAGTATCCTGAAAACACATAGCAGCACACTTTATTTTCAGGTAAAAAAAGTAATGTCTGTGTAAAAAGCAGGAAGCTCTATGGCTTGCTGTGATACTGCCCACCTGATACTTAACACAAATCTGTGGGCTTCGGCCCCACAGCATTGTTTCAGGAAAGCCACTTTGAACAGGCTTGCCCAGCACCCAACCTTACTCAAACAAAGAGGCTGAGGAACAAACTTACCCATTTCCACCACCAGTATTGGCCCATGGAAACAAAGCTTCTCCCTGCTGTTCACCTCTGCACTCAGAGATGACAAACCACCAGGACCAACTTCCTTGGTGAGAGAGAGTATTCACATCTTGATTTCTACCCGACACAGGTCTAGACTATCTTTGCCCATGGGGGATGAGAGGTAGTGGGAAGAATAAAGACAGTAGAGTTGCCTTTAGATGACCTGGTCCTTTCAGAAGCTCTAGGAAAGGTTCCACCTCTCTCTGCTTTCCTCTAAGGCATCACTTCACTAGAAGTTCTTCAGACCTTTTGGCTCAGCTAGACACATCTGGAAGACGCTGCCAAACCCAGAACTGCCTGGCACATAATGATTGTTCTCTGTTTAGAAGGAATTAACACATCAAAAAAAAAAAAAGAGGAAAAAAAGGAAGTCTTCATGCCAGCCAAGTCAGTAGACTGAGACACAGGTCTACAGGGAGAGCCAAGAGACTGCCAGCTTGAGCCCTAAGAGCAATCCTTCCACAGAAACCTGGGGCAGAAGGGAAGGGTCTGCAAGCAGCTACAGTCTCCTGGCTCAGATCACTGTAGACCCTGAGAAAGGGATGGTATTGACCCAATTGTTCATTAAACGGGTGCAGCTTACAGCTTTGGGAAGGATCTATGACAGATAAAGAACATGGATGCACAATATACATGTTTCACCTGGTAGCACACTTAGTACAATAGAAGTTCAGAGATATTATAAAAGCACAAGCCAGGAGAGAGCATGTAAGTAAGAAACATTTGCTGAAGGTGTGCCAAATCTCTGGGTTTACAAAACTGTACTGGAGTCGGCAGTGATCTTTACAGCACATGCTAAAAAACCCAAGATTAGGCAATTTTCCAGGCATAGGTGAAACCGAAGTGTCTGGATGCTTCTCCTAGCAAAAGTACACAGAGGTTTGCCATGGCCCAAAAGACGACACAGACAGGCAGCAGAACTAAAACTGGAAGGAGGTCTTACCAAAGTCCATGCGGTCCTTATGATTACGCTGCAAAAGGCCCAGCAGCAGCTGCCTCAGGTGGCTTGATGTCTCCCTGGGGATGCTAGGATTGAAAACAAAAGCAAAATAAGAGAGACTTGCAGTCTACTTAAACTGCTGTTACGTATTCAGGAAGGCAACCAGCAAATGCAAACTCACTTTGTGCCTGCTGGGCTAGGAACATAAGAGCTCACTGGAGAGAGGCTGAACACGAACATCTGTATTTGCATCTCTGGCTTTTACTCCCCATGGTCATTGTTAAGGCTACAGCTCATCTAGCTTCAGTGGCCTCTCCAGTGAGCACCTGCAGATCCTTCCCTTCCACAGTGGTGCCAATGATATCCCTCTGGTTCTCAGCTAAGTCCTTTCAACATGCAATATTTTGCACGTGATAAATAAAGGCTCTTCTACTTGCTCTAATGGGAATAAGGAGGTCATTAAAATGAAGCGGTTACCAAGGGAAAGCTTCCAATTAAGACACTGGTGGTGAAATGTATCACCAATTACTACCACTTTATTAAGGCATTTCTTTTTCAATGCAGCTTATGTAAGACTAGCAAGTAATCTTTGTACATTTACTTCCTTGATATACAGCATTTATTAATCAAAGGCCACTAAGATGCGAGCAACTGCCACCCAAGCAATTTAAAATTAGTGCAGCTATTACCCCACTTTCCAGTATAGCTAGGAAGAAAGTACTCTTTTCCACAACCACTGCAGCACAAAAGAGCTAGTAAATCCTTGTGCTCCGCCTCATCCCACAAGCAGATGGGAGAGGCCAGAGCAGCTCTTCACAAGCCCAGTAGATTGCGAGAAGCAGGGAATAAATGAACGGATTAAGGCAGGGAAAGCAGACTTCAGCTATTGCATAAGTGGATTCAGCTCTGCCGACTTTCCTCTGGAACCAGAAGCATCGTTAGGGGCTGTAGCAGCCGGGCCCTGCCTGCAGCCAGAGCCGAGCTCTCCAAATTCAGCCTAGGTGGCCACAGCTCCTTTCGGCGTTGGCTCTGGTTATCGTGGCCGTGCCCAGCACGGCCCCCACGGTCTGCCAGGCCCTCCCCGCTCCCCATGCGCGGGTCATCTGAGGTAATGGCATGCGTGCTCAGCACAGTAATTTTAACTGCCTGGAGCCCCAGCCTGCTCAGTAGTGCAGCGCGTGGCTCGCTCGGGCAGGGCTCCGCTTTGCTGGGCTGGCACCGCTTGCCACCCTGAGTGATGCCGGGAGAAACAACCCTTCCCGCACCATTTCTACCACCACAGACAGAGTAAAGAAAAATAGGAAGCTGGGACAAAAATAGTGGGAAGAAAAAGAGGTATTAGCTAGCACTAACAGACTCTTGTTCACTGAAACTAGAGATGTGAGGCAAGGTGTGTATTTACAGGTTTCAGTGCTACCTGGTTATTTTCCTGTGAAGCCCTAGGCTTTTGAGCCCAGTGATTCCTAGAACAGCAAATGATGGCAAGCATCGCTCATCCTTGTTTGTACTGGAAAAGCTGCTTTTCCATCCCTGATGCTAGAATGGTTTCATGTGCTTTCCCAGGCCGACAAAGGAAGAGGCCACCAGGACTCTAGAAGGGATGCAGTTAAACTGAGACTCTGTTTGAACCCAGAAAAAACACGCTCTCTTCAAAAAAAGGTGTACCTTAGAAGCACACTGCATAACAGAATAACCCAAGATACCACCGCTAGCAGAGTCTCCTGAAAAATACATTAAGTGCTGGAGACCTGCAGTCCTCCAGTGTTATCGTCATAATTTATTTATCCATGACACACAAAGCTCTCATCCAAAATGAGTCCATTTCCCAGCAATGACTTCAGCTTTTGTATGGTTTTAAAGCCAAGAACCAGGGAAGGTCAAGTAGTAGACCTCAGATGTCACAACACAGACTGAAGACGATGCAGATTAACAGCCTGTTTGCTGCCTCTTATCTCTCACATCTAAAACATCAAGCTTCGCTATGCTACCCTACAGTATTATTTGCCAAGGCCATCTCTTTCAACAGAAGTAACAAAACTGCCTCCTTCCCCCCATGATCTAGAATATACTTTGCTATGTAAATCAGCACAATGAATGTTAGCTATTTAGATCACCGCTATTAAAGCTGAAGCCTTTGGGCTTTCTCCTACTGACACGGGCTCCCCACCTGAGAATGGCATTTCACCTGCCAGCAACAGCACCAGCCCGGCAGGCAGAGACCGCTGGCGAGCCTGTAATGAGCTCTTCTTCCCCACCCTGTTCCCAAGCCAAAACAGGGCGCTTTCCGTGGTGATGCCAGGGAGGTGGGTGCCAGCCTGCCTAGCCCCAAAGAGAGTAAAACCAAATCCTGGCACTGCTGCAGTCTGAGAAGGAGGTCTCTGGAGTGGTTTCGTGTTTCATCCTGTGTTGGCAGGGCTGGTGGAGGCAGTTTATTCATGTTTACTCAGGAAATAGCACAGATTGCAGCTCATGTTAAAGAGACAAACTGATTTCAGAAAGCCGGGAATCGGCATTTCCACAAAGGCCACTTTGGATCAGATTTCTACAGTGAAAAACAGTGGGCTTAGGTGAAAAAACAACAGGCTTAGATCTAAATTTTTGAGGAATTTGGTAGTTAAAAAGTGGAAATAAGTGAAAATGATAAATGCAGAGGGTGTAAAGGACTCAAAAAAAGAAAGAGAAGGACTAATCCCTACAAGGACATGTTCTCCTCTTACAGCTGAGTTTCATTTCTCCCCTAACCTACCTACTACTGCATGCACCATGAGCCAAAGTGGCATCAGGGCAGTGTGATCAACACAAGAAAGCTTATTAATTGTAGACAGTAATTTCTCTTTTAGTAAAAGGGACTACCTCAAAGGTGAGCAACCATGTTTTAGACTGTGTAGGGGAAACAGAAGCTCTACTTTGCTCACATAATTTGGCTCCAACTATGTGGCAGTGTTTTTGCTTTGAATTGTTTTGTTTGGGTGTTTTACTCCATCACACCCTTTGGTTCAATCCAGAAGAGCATGCAGATGCCCCAAATTTAATCCTGGTAGAAATTTTCCCCTTCTCCCCAAATCAAAAAAGGAAGTACTTGAAGGGAAATTAGATGCATACCACAAGTCATTGATAAGAGCTCTAGCTTCTTGACAGTTCCTTCCTCTATCTCTTGGAGCTGTCTAAACTGGTAAGGGGGGAAAAAAAAGAATCCACACACAGTGACTCGATGAACTTCCTGCATTCGTGGCTGCATTGTCAGCTCTGCCAAACGGAAACTAACTTTCTGGATAAAAAGCACCTTCCAATTTTTTGATTTATGAACTTGGAACTTCAGTCCTGTCTCTATACCAAGCTGAGGTTTTAAGACCAGGCATGAGGTTCTGCTTTAAGAGCTCAGAGATCAAAAGGAAAGACTACAGCAGCAAAACCAAAATACACTGACAAATCACAGCGCTGAGAGGCAGCTAGATGTTTCACTAGGTAACATACACCCGGTGGGACGAAAGCAGTTATCCTCCCCTTGGAAACTGCAGTAGTGTCCATTTCCATCGAGGTTATAGTATTTCCTCCTATTGGCAGGGTGGACACAAGCAGTTGTTGTCCTGACACGTGAGAAATGGGAATGTGATCTGCAGTCAGGTATAGCAGGTTACAGCAGAGACTGCAGTTTGGCTGCTCACATGATTAAAGAATTGCCATGATTTCTTCCCAAGGCTCCCAGCCTCAAGGAAGCCATATGTGGGACAGGACCGCTAGCTGGCTCTTGAAACCACTAACGATCCTGAATTTTTGCAACGTAGGAGAGAAGTAGTAGCTGTGGAAAGAGAACATCAACTCTGGCAATTCACTGCTGTCTGACTTTCTCTGGGCCACATCACTGCTGGTTTAAGGAATGGGGAAGGCAGGTAGCCAAATATTTTACATCCCTGAGTGACAAGCCAGCAGCATGAGAGGACAGGTGTAAATACAGAGTAAACAAGTGCACACAAACAGTGACAGTGGAAAAATGCTTACTTCGGCATCAGCATCTTGTTTTTCTCATAGAAGAGACGAAGATCCTGTGGGCTGCTGGCCTGTAGAGGAGAAAGAAAACCAGTGGATGAAGCAGTTGACAGTGAGGCATGGGGATTAGCATTTCTATTTCACAGTCACTCTGAAGAGCAGAAAGGCACTTTCCAATTGCTGAACCAGCACAGACAACGAGAACCCGCCGCTTGCTTTAGATTGAAAAGCCAGCACTGTGCCACAGTGAAAATACAGTATTTCAGCCTGCTGTCTTTTTGTCCCTGACCTGGTTATGTCCTGCTTTCCCCTTCCAAGGGCTGAGCTTCATTGCAGTAGGCTCTGATGCTCAGGTCTGAGCTGGCCTAATAGCCTCACCCAGGAGGCTAAATAATCACAGACGTGAGGAGTCCCAAATGATGAATGGCAGCTCCCACTGAGAACACAGATTAGTGCCGCAGGGCATTTTGAAAAGGGGCAGGGAGCCTGTTGATGGGCAAGGGATCTGTGAAGAGACCAGGAACATGGGGAAACAGCAACTGAATTAGGATCTCCTACTTTTAATTCCAGGAAGCCAGAAGGTCTCAAGCCACAGCTCCTGTTTGTGCAGTAACATACACAACTGCTGGGGATGTTGACAACAAGATCCCAAATTCTGAGAGATGAGATTAAAAAAAAAGCTAGGCACAAGAGGTTTATGGCTGAGGTTAAAAATAAAGTCACCAGTATAGAAGCACAGACGCATAAAAATCTCCTAACGTCATTTCTCCATTTGTTTTTATGCAATGAATAATACAGGTCAGTAAAATTAACCCTAGTGGCTCAAGCTTTTCTACTTAAGCAAAGTCTCCTTAGGGAGAGCAGGCTGGCTGGCATGACACTGACATGAAGGCACATATAAATGGGGAAGATCAGACAGATTCATCTGCACTCAGTTACTGGTGCAGCAGAGTGTGTAGGAAAGTGTGAAGGCAAGTGTGGACAAGGAGGCAACAGGCAGCTTCTCCTGATGTTCAGGGCAGGCTCAAAAAGCCCTCGAGACTTCCACCTACTTCATTTCTAAATTAGAAGCATTTAAGGTCAATTAAGATGCTTAAAACAGCAAATCAGACAAGCCAATCTGCAGATGGCCATCAAAATACCACTAACACAGCATGGCTGGAAAAGCAACCACATAAGATGCTGTTTCAACATCACCTACTCCCTCTGGCTGAAGATGAAAATTGAGGATAACTGTGAGAGCTCAGTACAAAACCTCAAGAGAAACCAAAGAGAGAGTCTCGAAAGCTGCTAATACCAATAGACTCGTGTAGCACCAATCAGGACAGAATTTCTTGCACAGTCTGAGCAACTCAACCCAAGCTTCACAGCTCTCCTATAAATTTGTACCAATAAGAGCTACTGGATTCCTAAAAGAAGGAAATAAGAAAGATTTCCTGGTTCTCCTTTCTGCAATAACCTATCCTTTGCTGCTCACAGACACAGCAGGGACCCAAACAGGAGGTGCAAAAGTACTTTCTTCAAACCGTTAAAATGAATGTTATTCAAAGCACCTTACTAGATAGATGTCAAACTGCATCAAGATTTCCAATCACTGCCAGTCGATTTGGTTCAGTAAAACTCTGTTTTGCACCTCTCCCCTTGCAGATATTGTCCTGTAATTAGATTCTTAATATTTGGCAAACAAGGCAAGTATACACACTGCACCACATGGCTTGGCCACAATGCTCTGCGTGATGCAAAATATGCCTGAGACATAACAAGGAGGAACAGATGCCCACGCAGGCAAGTGAAGTTTTTGCTCACATCACAGATACGAGCCTTGGCTGTTTGCTCTGTTCATTTCCTGTCGCAACAACTCAATTGTTTCACAAATACAATGATGCTCTGATCTACTTCAAAAACTGTTTTGTCAAAAATTTTCCTGGCAATAGAGACCAAGTATATTAAAAGCAGCATACACGCAAAGCCCAGTTCATTAGAGAGAGTTTCTAAGTACGAGCCTGGATAGAAACAAAATCCTCAATAAAGTTCTCCTCCTCTTCATACAAATCAGAGAGTTAACCCTGTAGGGATGTTGTTTCTCCATGTTTTGCTGTCTCAGTACAATTTCTACTTGTTCTGCAACGACCATATCCAGGGTGCCAAGCCCTAGCCACCCAGACCACGCTTCCTCACTAGGGCTGTCCGCAGGAGCCCACAATTCAAGGCTGGTCTCCGATACAGGCAGCTGCCTGATGGGGAGTAGAGTCATTTTAGTGAGTGCCCAGCACAGAAAACTGTGGATCACCATTAATTTGGTAAAACCAACTGCATCTTCATGTAACTTCATTATTAATCAACTGAGTCGCACAGTTCTGCTCCCAGCAGTAACATGCCCCCCGCTCTTCAGCTGTTAGCATCCGTTTCATAAAGCACTGGTACCTTCAGCCACTTTGCTCACCTCTTCTTTCAATAAATAGCTCTTCTCTGAGAATCATGGCAAAAAAATGCAGAAGTGTTCATAAGACATTAAAAATGCCATTCAAATTCCTTCTTCTAGGAAATTAAGGACTTAATTTGAAATCTACCTTCCAGGCAGATACACCCTACCCAAAGAAAACACCAGAAAAAGCACATTTTAGGCACCTAACAACTAGGCCATTCAAGGTACACAGAGCCAGCTGCTACCTGTAGGACAGCATCCACTTGTCAGAAACAGGGATGCAGAATGGACAGCTCAGTTTTCCCCAAGAACAGGAGATGCACCAGCAGGCCAATTCATGCCCTTGTTCCCCTCTCATGTTACTATGGAGCAGCTGCATCCATGTAACTGGCTTTGTTTTTGTCTGTCCTTTCTATACACAAAGACAATTGGACAAATTCAATCCTGCCACCCTGTTACTTTGTCCCGAGCAGCAGTGGAAATATGTTGAGCCAAAGGTATTCAGCATAACCCTGCCAAATCCCACTCAGTGCTGGCTGCCTACAAGTGAATCGCACGCGAAAAGCACGCAGGGTGGTGTTTCCAAAAGCACTCAGCGCTGGATTTGCTGCACTTGGGCAAAGGCTGGATGCAAAAGCCCAAGGTTCAGTCAGAAGAGGACCAGAGACATTCACACCCTCAAGTGAACAGCACTGTCTAGTCAACACTTCATAGCAGGTGTACGGTATCTGCTCTGCTCTTTGAATCCTTTGGGATCCCTGGGGATATGGAGGGGATTCAGACATGTTAGAAAGAAAAAAAGAAATGGGTAATGTTTCTAGCTTGATAGTTCTGGGGAAAAAGCTTGAAAACCTGCTGCAATACCTCCTGCTCATGCAGTCTTACAGCTGGTATTTTAAGAGTTCCACAACTAAGTGACTGTCATTCAGGGGATCTTGAAAGTACAACCACCAGGAGAAAAAAAAAATACACCACCAAAAACCCAAAATACAAACCTTTTTCTTTAGCTGCCTATGGATGTTTGTCTCTCTACTCCCAACAGATCAGGATCAGGCCCACAAACACTAGGCTAAAAGCCAACAGCTCACTGTCTACAGCAACAAGTCAACCACTGCACCCAATTTCAGCAGAGTAACTACCACCATCAGGAATACCTGCCCCCATTGACACAGGACAGTCCAGAGGAACAGCTTTGGGAACAGAAGAGCAGCCTGCCTAACAAATAAACCAGGGGTTCAAATGCTGGCTATAAAATCCTCTCTTCCCTAGTCTTCCTCAAGCCCATTTCACAACATAGCAGTTGTTGTAAGTGATACATAATCCTAGTACTTACGCGGGCAGAATTAACCCAGAAATAAAGCAGTGGACTTGGTGCACTGGGCTTAGAAATGAATTTTTCACCTAGCAGCTAGCTGAGATGAGAACATACACAGGCAAGTTAACTCTTTCAGAGCTGCCAGACCAGGCAGTAAAACTTGCGTTACCTCTCTTGCCACTTCCCTGCTCCCTGTCTCACGCTCCTGCGGACCCAGCACACCATGTCCATAAAGCAGCTAGGAGAAGATTCATGCAAATGCTCAGACAGCAGATAACCAGGTTTCATGGTCTTTATCAAGATGTGATGTCCAAGTAGACCCATGCCACTGCCAGAGACAGCTCTGACACAAAGTGCATGTGCTTGGCATTGTGTCTGCTTACCAAGAGCTGCCCAGTTTTTAAAGGGGTCACACAACAGAAGCCACCAGGAACATCAGTGAGATTATTCCCCCTGCTGCCCCCCGCCCCCCCCAAAAAAGGAGATTGAGGTCATTTAACTCTAATCATATTTAAAATGTCATCTGACAAGGACTAGATTGTTTTTGGAAGGTATTTTAGACCTTGTATAAATCTTTTTCTTCCCTGTCTCCAGTTTTGCTTCTTGTTGTCACTTATCTACACAGCCTACATCACTTCATGGTGGGCACTGGGTCCCAATCTTTTCAGCTCAGGTAAGGACAAGAGAAAACCAGTATACCCTCGAGGCACTTCTCAGTATACTGGTCAGCAAGATGAGGAAACTTACTGTTCAAGCCCTGTCCTCAGTGACAGAAATGAAGAGATGCAAGTGCAGACCATTTATTAGCCAAAGCAAATTAACAATTCCACATTAATACAGTGCTCAGCAAATCTGTTTATAGGGATTATGAATCTCATTAATCTTATCCCTATGGCAGCCTCACTGTTTTGTTTATGGGCATGTTTAATACAAAAAGCTCCTTAAGACAGCTTCACCAGCCACCCTACCAACTGTTCAGATCTGAACATCAGCAGCTTCTTTCCTGTCTGTGTGCAGGGAGACAGGGAAGGGACAGGAATGGCTCTGGGAAATTGCTTTGGGGACCCAGCTACAGTTAATTTTAACTTTGAGACAGCTGAAAATCACATTCACACATCTCTGTCTTGACTTACAAGCACCTTCTGGATTGACAGCTGCCTCAGCCTTTCCACACATTTGATCTTTTCTCCATCTAACCCAGCACCACGAAGCCCTATTTTATTTTTAGGCAGCTCATTCCTCCTCACTACAGGTAACACTGGAGTCCTTTTGGTTTGCATGCCCATGGAGGTGCCTAATTGGCTCATACAGAGAACAGCTAGAGTGCCCAAATGCAGCTCACAGTGATCCAGATTCCCATGGGAATCTCAGCTAGACAGAGGTGAGGGGCTGTCCTTGCCAGCCCGGGAGGGAAGGCATGGTGAGGATTTAGCCTGAAGAGGTTGATGCCAGAAATCCAGTTCCTGGCTGCCCTGTACAACTGGGTCTGCTGGTGGCACTGTGTACAATCAGCCTGTTATGTCCCCACCCATTTGTACATCTCCCTTCCAAAAGCACTCATTCCTATTCATGGTCACCCCATCACTTCTGTCCACTAGCCCCCCTCCTCTATAAACAATAGCTTCTCACTGGCTCAGTCATCATCAGCAAATTCTTACAACACAGTCATGCCAACAAAGAAATAAAGCTGGTTAACCTTTAACTGGCTTTCCAACATCTGCCCTAGACAGGCTTCTTTCACCTGAAACTCGCAGCTAGAAGGCAATTTGTGACACACATGGTCAAAACAAATAGATGGTGCACAGAGAACCATCTGGGCTGAGCTTTTCTCTCTCCCTGATCAAACAAATCCACAGCTGCTATTGCAGTAACAAATGGGGCCTGCCATTTTACTTCAAAATACAAACCCCAAAAGAGGAAAGGGCGTGGGGAAAAATTAAAATAGAGAAACAAGTGACCCCTGTCCCCAGCCCAACAGATGTTGGATGTATATGGGAAAGAGAGAAGTTATCCAGTCAGGCAAGCACAAAGCAAGGATCAGGACCTGCTGAGCAGGGACCAAAACATCCTTTCATTGCTTGCCACAAGGCAGGGTATTGCCATGCCTCAGCCAGAGGGACAGAGGCATTCAGGGCTGCTCTCACCTTGTGTGAGCCTGAGGATGCGCATATATATATATATAGGCAGGGAGCTGATGGTTTTCTGACCACCTGCCTTTTCAAAACTTTGGCTGGAGAGACAAATGAAGATGACTAGATTTCAATTTTATTTCCTGTGAAAAATGTTCTCTATAACAAATAATGTTTCAGAAGAACATTTCTGTGACATGCTTCAATGACCAGTCATAAAAGCCACCTAATTCTTTTCCAAGAAATCAGATGCCCCCAGGTTGTGTGTGAGCTACTAAGCTAAGAACACTTATGAGAAAGTCATCACATTAAACGGTAACGAAGTCATTTCAATGACTACACTATCAAGGTGCCTTGAGAAGCTAAAATACACCAAGTTCCAAGACAGAATGAGCGCAAGGCTGCCCTATGCATGCAGCGTCAAAGCTTGCTTTCTCCAGCCCCACATTTTCATCTTAACGCACAAATATTTTCTTTTATCCTAACAGTCATTTTCTCCTCTCAAAGATGCCAACACTGACAACAAGTGGATGCAGCCACTAATCAGCTGCCATTGAGGAGTTTCAGTGTACTTGCAGGGGTGTTTAGAAAAAAAGAAACATGCGAAGGAAATGAAGTCTTGCTCTAAATACAGGGGAAACCTGGTGGACAGAATATCTGTAAAAAGCACTGGAATGGAAGATTCTTACAGCAGCAGAGAAAAAAAAAAAGTACCCTGAAGGAGAAAAAGTGTTCTTGGTTCTAGAAAAGACCAAAACATACCACTGGTTTACTCCATATTTGCCTACTCTTTCCTGCAACAGATTCATAATTCACTTTATCCTTCTTGATGATGTAACTGCATGAACAAAGTCTTGTGTGAAATTCTAAAGATCTGTGGAACTAAAGCTCAGAAAATCCTGCAGTTCACAAAATTTGCCTTATCACATGAGCATAAATCCCCCCCCCACCCCCCGACTTTTTTGGTTGGGGGGGGTGGTTGGTTTTGTTTGTTTGTTTTTGTCTTATTTTGTTAGGGCATCAGGGTAAAGAGATGTCAGGACATGAGAAGAGGGCCACAGTTCACATTAACAGATCTAAGCAGCTGAAGAGTTGGCATCAGCTGATACATCAGCATGCAAATTTGAGGTTTGGTCTTTCTCCATGGATTAGAGACAAGCTCTACAGAGCTCACACATTAGAGAAGCAAAGTATCAGCAACTCAAGCATCTCTCTACTATGCCATAAAACAGCAAGGAAAAAAACCTAGGAAGTACAGTACTTAAACAGTGGTTGCAAGGGAGAGCCTGCAGATCTCATTCAGCATGGAAGAGAAGCTATACGCAGTGTGGCACACTAATGACTGGGAACAGGAAAAACACACTGAGTCTAGATGAACTCCAGCTATATATGATTAAAAATACTGTGAAGTAACACTGAAGCAACTTGTATGAGGCTGTTATGAACTCTCGATCATTCAAAATTTTAAAATCAGAGAATACCTTTCACATAAGATATGCTCTAGCTCATCCAGAAGTTATGGCATAAATTACAGGGTGGAGTTTTACTGGACTGTGTTATACTTGGAGGGGTTTGGACTTGATGAACATAAACATTTCAGGCTGGGACTGCTGCTAGATGACAGATAAGATCCTTTTGATAAGATCCTACTTAACTGCTCTAAAAACAAAGTCCATTTAGCTGCAAAGCACCAGTTACCACCAAATCATCCCGAACATTAACTTGCAATTACAATCTTCCTTATTGTCCTTCCACAACCAACAGAATTATAATTATAAATTATACACAGAGTACAGTTGTAAATAGAAACTGATTTTTTAAGTGTGGGCCTGGAAAAAAAACCCACTGCTTTAACTGATTCACAATAATTTTCTGAAGACATGACCCTTCCTAAGGATTTATAACCAGGAAATACATCTCACAGATACAGCCCAGACAAGTAGAGTCATATTCCAGTAATACGTCCAGCATGACAACATATAAACCACCACAGTGTCAAGGTGTTGGACAGCCAGACCTCCATGAGGCTAGATCTTATGGGAGTTAATATTATAGATGACAGAAGCCTTGGAGTAAGCAGATTAAAAGGGAAAAAAGAAAAAAAGCAAGAGAGTCAGAAACATTAGATCTAAGCAACTCACCTGAAAAGGAGCCTTTCCTGTCAGACACTGATAAATGATGGTTCCTATACTCCAGAGGTCAGCTTTGGCATCGTAGTGTTGAGACATAATGACTTCTGGTGCCTTTTTGGAGAAAGAACACAAAGCTGGTTTAGAAGAGATGTAGCTTTTTTTTTTTTAGCAGCTCCAAGAAAGAAACATAAGTCACTATTATGCTTTAAAAACCCTTGAGCTAGATTCCTGACTAACCGTGAAAGATTTGCTCCCAGTATAACTGTAACATTACCTTGAAAGGACCAATGCCCTACCTAATTGGGGGAAGCAGAGACCTTCATTCAGGCAGGCAAAAAGATACCCTATGCTGTTTGGCTGCTTTGTGTAAACTCATTATTTTCCCTTCTCAGCGTACCATTTTTTGCTGAATCCGCCTGTGCTGGGAAGCGGCCTCACTGAAATGGCACAGACAGATCTTCTAAACCAAAGCAAGTAACAGGTAAACGATCAAGAAAAGCAAAGGCCCACACTGCACAGGTAAGCTTCAGCCTTCACCCTGATCTGCATCGCTTACGCACTTTCCTCATTTAGCCTAAGATGGAAGCATAATTAATATGCTGCGGAGCCTGCTGCCAAGGTCACAGTTTGGGTTCAAAGGCAGATCTATGCGTTTCAGTCCAACAGCTTGAGCCCTGCTGTGCCCCAGACTCGGGTTTCTAATCTCACTCCATGCCCTTGGTTGCTCCCTCCCAGGCTTGCTCCAGAAGCTGGGGATGGTGCAAGCCCACAAAGCCCTGTGGCTCCGGAGGCAGCGTGCTTTAGGAGTGGCAGCAGGAGAGCAGGGACAGAAGGACAGGCTTGCTAATCCCACGTGTTTATAACAACAGATTTCATCACGGTGCTGCCAGCACGGACAGGATCAATTTTCTAGCTCTGTTAGAAGTAAAGGCCACATGTAACAAGAAAAATGGCAGCAAGTTATGGACAGGAGCTCGGACTCTCCCTGAGCGAAGCAGGCCCCACACCAAACAAAGCCAAGGAAGCAGGACAAGAACTGCACAAGGAGGTTTCAAGTCTCATGTGACATGGGCCATATCGGGGTTCGGAAGACAGAAAGCTCATCCCGGGGTGGGTAAAATACCTTCTTTTAAAAGCAGAGCAAAAGGAAAAGAGCAGCAACAGGCAATGAGCTAAAGCAAGGCATAAGGACCTCCCTTGCCAGCAGATGTTCCCAGGGACAATGCACAAGATTCACAATAGCAACAGCGACAGACTTCAAACACACCCTAAATTCCAACTGAACCCTCCCTCCCCATCTTCCTTCAAACCCATCAGTAAACAGAGAACAATATGAAACATTCTGAGATCCCTTGTAATGTCCAGAGTTGTTTAAAATAAAAAAAAAGAAAAAAGAAAAACATCACTAACTTCCTCCAGCCCTTTCAAAAAAAAAAAAGCTGGGTGTTTTCATTTACTTTCATAAGAGACTCTGAAAGAAAAAGTATCACTAAAAATAGACAATTCAGGAAACTCACAGGAGAAAAAAAATTACATCATCTTCACATATAGCATAGTTCAAATAAACATCAGGCTTCAAAAAAGGGAGAGAGAGGAAGTCTTTTTTGCTTGAGTTAGTACTGTGGAACAGACACACTACCCCTGTGCAGCACAGCACAGTCCAGCCCAACTCTGCCCAACGATAAAAAATTAAAAAGTGGAATAGAACACATTCAAAGTCAGCTGCCTACCGCCCCAGGGCACTTGCAAAAATTACAACCTAAATTGATCCACATAACCTTTTTACTTTGAGCTCAGACACCCACATCCCCAGGAACTACTACGTGGCTGGCTTTGACACTTTTATTTCTGGCCTGGTTTTGTCATTTTTAAATTTCACTGACTTGATGCGACAACTAGATCTTGACTGCTGCCACGAGCACAAACAAGTGAGATCACCTCCTTCCATCCTAGTCTCAAAGTGGAAAGTACAAAGGGGGTGAAAGGGATCAGTTTGGGTTTTTTCAACACATCTGTTTCACAAGCTAAGTAGTCATCCTGGAAACAGCTGGTTTGGTGAAAGAATTAGTGTGTCAGGGACAAGGTTAGGAAGTGGAATGCACAAAACATAAATTGCAAACAGGAGCAGGTGAGCTCCATTTACACCCATCCGCTGAGCCGTACAGCAAAGCATACTTAGGAGTAAGTTAGCAAGAACGGCAAAATCTCTGCCTGCATAGGTCCATACATCTGAAGGGATTCTGCAAGACCCCGGAGCTAAAAACAGTTGGAGATTTTACAGAACTGCTGTTAAACAGGGACCTTGCTCCTGCTGCTGTGGCCTTAGCAAAAATGACTGCAAAGCCCGAGGTGACAGCAGGCTTGTGGAACCATTCTGTCTCAAAAGAGCCTGTGGAAGCAGTGATTCCTCTCCAAGGAAGCAATACCTCAAATATAGCCAGATGCGTGAAATATCACCTCGGCCCTCACTCTCTTGTTGTTCCTTTGCTTGCAGCAGAGGAAATAGATTTCATTTCCCAATGCCTTCAGTGGAGAAGCCCTAGTCCCCTCTGGAACATGCAGCTTCTGGTAACAGACAGCAATCAATACTTCATTGTGTTCAGTTTTATTTATCAAGAGCTCACCTGAAAGTTAAATGACAACACAGGCACCTGTTGTCCAACATTACCAGCAGCTAGAACTTTATGAACTCTCCCTGTGCAATAGCTTGTTTCTGACAAGCAAATAAAATTTCCCCTTTGGGGGAAGGACTAGCAAAAAACAAAGCCTTGCTTCTGGAGGTCAAAGCACGAACAATACAGGAAAACACATAGGCAAAACACACTTACCATGTACATTGGTGAGCCGCACAATGTCGCTGCCATCATATTGTTCTGCAGGTATCGGGCAAATCCAAAGTCAGCTACAAGGAGAAACAGAGAGGCAAGTCAGGATCAGACACCAGTTCTAGAGATCCGGCACCTTCCCCAGTTGATCGCCCCTACTTTCCTTTCACTTCTCATGAATCTTTGCAGCAAGTGAAGTACCACATCTTAACAAGACTTTGACAGCTCTCTTCTCAAGCAGCAACAAACTTGTGCTGGGTATTAATGCACACTACAAACACCAGAAAAGGAGAGACCATGCCACAAAAAAAAAAAGTATTCAGAAGAACTAACTGCCATCCATTTTTCAGATATCAACAGTCACTTCTTCCTGTATCCATCTGCCTGCACTCTGAAATGTCAGCTGCTGGAAGGTGGTACAGCTCTCCCGACTTTAGTGAGAGCAGGCCAGTTCATACAAGCTAGTTCATCTGCTGCTATCTCAACTTTTAATTTGGAGAGCTGAAAATTCCCCTCCATTGAAAAGGCCGCAGGGTAACAGACATCCAAGAGAAACTACTCGCCACCGCCCACATTTCCAGACCAGCCCTACTGAAAACAGCCTTCCTCTGTTCCTTTAGACGAGTTTCAACGGCGCTAACCCCAGCGCAAGGACAGAGAGCTGAGCCATAGTTCACCTGGTGGCTAGAAGAGCCAGGGACAAGGAACACCAAGATGAATTACCTCTGCAGGTTACTCAGCATCTGATCATATGATACTCAGAGGTTGTCTCAAGGTTACCAGATATTTCAAGCTAGGAGATTGACACAGCTGTTTACACAGTCATCTGTCACTAACGAACTGGTACGGCTAGCGACTCCCTGGACCACGTACTTCTCAGGGAAGCGGGAGGGAGGGGTTGCAGCGTACATCCCACCCCAGAGCAGCTGTGCCCGCAGCCCTTCTGCCTGCGTCTGCAGCTCCCAGTCACTTCCACCTTCCAGATAACTCTGCACTTCACAAAAAAACACTTCACCCAAATGAGCAGCAACATTTCAAACTTTCCCACTGGACCTTATTTCTCATCTGAATGAAAGCATTAACGCTTTCTCCACAGCACAGGGTTCAGGCAAGGAACAGTTTTATCTAATTGGTGTCAGCTTCAGCTCATGAACTGTAACATAATCAGAAGTCCACATGTGGAGGGCGATATCATCCAGCACTCATTTCTGAGGGACCACAGGGGATACGTATGGTCTGTAACTGGATTTCTGGAGCATTTGTCCCAACTACTGTCCATATGTGCCACTTGCCTAACGTGCAAAAAGTGAGTTTCTTCAAGAGGCAGCTGAGAAGCCTGTCTCTAAGGTCTCAGACCAGGCAAACACCTGCCTTCAGGTGTGCCTGACACCCACTGTGCTCTGAGGCCAGCTAGAAGAGCAGCTAGTTTCAGGCCTTAAGACACCATTTACCTCAATTCTATTCAAAGCTGAAGACACAAGTCACAACAGCTGCTCATTTCTTGGTAAACCTGGAGATTACAAGCCAATTAGGGCAGGCTGGTATTTTTTTTTTTTTTTTACCAAGGGAGGCATAGTGCAGCTTGGAAATGGAACAAGGGCTGCCCAATGTCTCTTGTGTTAACCTGTGTCCTGGCAGAGCAGAAAGCTCTTGCTCCTGCTGCTTGGAGCCAGCTAATGGTTATGTCTAGCAGAGGGACGAAGCAAAGAAGATGAAAAACATTAGGGCATCTTAAAAAGTGCAGCTATTTCTTCCTCCCCCTAAACAGTTCCCCAAAGAAAGATTGAGGCTTGCCACTTATCCGTCAACCTCTCCCAAGAGCACTTAGGGTGACATTTGTATCGGGGTCTTACCGATCTTTATGCGAATGTTGTTGGGATTTGATTTCCTGCCTCCTGCGTAGGAAAGGAGGATATTCTGTGGTTTCAGGTCCCGATGGATGATGCCTTTGCTGTGCAGCATTTTCATGGCACCTGCTATCTGCTGGAGAAAGAGCCTGATGGTGTCTTCACTAAGTGTTCGCATAGCTAGAGAAGAGGAAAAAAAAATAACCACAGATGAAAAAATTACAATGCCAGTTCTCCGAAGAGCCCAAAGGGCAGATTCCCCACAGCAATTAGCCATAATTTGGCATTTTTACTTCCACGTATGGTGTTTTTTCTCCACACCGTAAGTTTTTCTGAATGATTCCTACAGGCAACAAGGGAGAGCATTTGCACTCTCAGCTTACTCTGTGGTCAGGGCTGTCTTCAGCCCCGAGTCTCTCATGGTGAATTCAGGCCAGTGGCGAGTGCTAAATTTGGGTCATCAACTGGGTCCAAAAAGTGACATTTGGTGAGGTTTAGGGCTTCCCTCAGCAAGAGCTGCCAGCCAGCTCTAGGCATGCACTGGGCAGGGCCTGCGGCCCGAGGAGTGGGAGGGTCGCTACCTTCAAGCAATGGTCAACAAATTCAGACCGTTATCATGAAGCCTATGTCTAAACCTGGAGCTAAAAGGAAAAGCAGTTAGGATTAGGATTTACACCTGCAAGAATCATTAAGGCCTAGGCTGGGCCTGGAAAGCGTTGGTAAGTTAAATTCAGACAGAGTCAGTTAGGGTACATGACCAGCCGGAATCTGTAACTTCAGGATATGAGTCCAAGTCTAGGCCTAAGCCTTGTGCATCATCAGCCGCTAGACTAATATAATTCTAATCCCAATTCCAGTGTTAGAGTGAACCATGGTCCAACACCTAACAACGTACCCCTACCAAGTGTCCCCTGCAAACTGTCATCTGACACCCTCCGTCTTGAATCCATAGGTAGCAAAGAGCAGCAAGACTGTCTCAGAACTCTTTTATAAGCAAGTATTTAAAAATTAATCAAAATCTGCAAACAAGGAAGCTCTGAACTGCACTCTCCTGGGATACGGGCTTCCCAAGAACTATGGTGTGAAAACAAATATTGAAAGGATTAAAATAATGTTCAACTGGCTCTTCTAATCAGAGCGATGCGACATTAGCTCTTGTTATTTTAAGAACGATACATACAAAACTCTTGCCAAAGCTGGGAGCAGCCTGATGAACAAACCCCAGGATCAACAGTGCTACCAGCCTGCCTCCTCGTCAGTCACTGAGCAAGTCAGGCTTAAAGAAAGCACCATTCCACTCGAATAAAATAGTTTCTTTGGTAAAAGGTCCCTGTAAATTACTTGGGACTTCATTAGTGTTTTTCCAGCTGTTCCCTAGTAAGACTTTAAAAAAAGCTGGCAGGAACTTCAAAATGCTACTCTACCTAGTCAGCTAGAAGGGAGGAATCCTTATGAAAACACAGATGAGGTTGCACACAGCTTTAAACACAACACAGGAAATTAAAAGTCTAACTTTTAAAATACGCACATGGGAAACAGCAAGGGACACAGATAAGTTAAACAGCACTTAGAATAGAAAATAAACTCCCATCACTCCTCACTGTTCCAGAAGGAGGCACAAGCAGAGCTGAAATGTCACCACGGCTATCAGCTGGTCCTGGACTCACACACGTGAGACCAGTGCACATGTATATTGAGTTTCTCTCCCCTCACTGGGCCTTTTTCCTCATGAACTGGCACTCAGTTGGAATTCAAGAGACTCCTCTGCAAGAAGGGGAGATTCTGTGAAGGTATTTTAAGGATATTAAAAGGCAGCTCAGATGCAAGTCTCCTAAACACACTGCATCTTCTGAAAACAAAGCACTGCCTCATCTTTAACACAGCTTTCCCTCATCTCCTGCCGAAGTATATCGGCATACTCAATCTTGTACCATCATTCTCTGTCTATTAAGGGTCCAGCATCTTAGCTGTGCTCAATCTTCTTTCCAACAAATGGTCTCTGCATTATTTCTGCAATTCCTATTCAGGGAAATCTATTTGGGTATTGTCAAAAGACCATCTTTAAACAAACCAGTAAGAACTCCATTTTTTTTTTGCCCAATTCGCCTCTGGCCCAAGAAAGGACAGGATGTCTCATCTTCCCCCAAACACAAAGCAAGACTTGAAACTTGGCAGTTCTTAACATTATTGAGCTAGCAGGCAACTACAAACTTCTGGCTAAATACATTCTGTCTCTAGCAGAGAAACGGTGGTGTTGAGAGCCTTGTTCTGACCTGCAGTCCCAACAGCATGCCGCATCTTATAAGGCGTTGCCCTCTCCTTTATATAATTTGGTGGCTATAAGGCTAACACAGCACTAGCCACCATCCCTCAGCAAACCAGCTAAGCCTCCCTATGGTGGAATCTAACTCTTCATACTGAAAACAACAACATTGCTACCAAGATCACAAAAATCCGTTCCACCAAAGAAAACAGGGCCTCTGAGCTACTAATTCCTGCAGAATTCAACCGTTTCCGCTTTACAGAAGTCTGTATGAAGCTCTCAGCCCTGCAAAGATGCTCTTTTCCTGACACATGCAGAATCTAAGCTGGTGTCTTGAGCCTGCAGATTCCCCCAGTGCATCTGCTGTGGCATAGTGGAGCTACCATGTTGCAGCGCAGCAAAATTAGACAGAGGTCTGTTGGATCCTCCGGCAGCATTAAATCTCACGAATCCAGGTAGTTCAGCAAGGTGGGACTGTGAAATTGAGATGCTGCCCTCAGTAACAGAGAGGGGACAGTCAGTTATTTCAGGAGCGTAGGGGCATACCCTTTTACTTCCCTCCATTAACAAACAGGCTGTAACATAGAAAAACAGAAGTCCTTATCTCTCATACTCAGACCATCAGTCTACTGCATGACAGCAGCAATCTCAACTGAAGGACAGAAACATAAATACAACTGACACTTTCAGTGACTTCAGGATATTGGTCCACAAAAGATCTTCTAGACCAGCTACCATGGGCAGAGGGAGGGAGCAGATACAGAAGACTCATTCAATTTAGCTGCCACAAAAAAAATAAAAGCGTGGAGAATGAAACAACTCACTTTGCTACACCCCAGCTAGGGAGCCTGTACTTCTGTCCCTGTAGAAAGAGGACATCTTTTATCTTCACCAGAAAACTGCTGGCAAAACACTAAGCCCGCACTGCAGTCTGGGCATCCCCATGGAGGTCTGTGGTCAGCAACACATTCTTGCAGAGAACGCTCTTTCACAAGCCTTACTTCGCCATTACTGAGAAGTAATAATATCCCTGTGTTTATTTTCATGGGCTCCACTTCAGTGATGAGGCACTCAGCTTACTGCTTTGGGAACAGCAGCCACACAGGTCAGTAGATCAGAGCAAATATTTACTGCAGGTCAGTGCGGGGCCCACGTGCCTTGTAGTTTGAGGCATAGGAAAAGGATGAAATCACCTTAAAAAGTACCCTGGTCAGCCCGTGCTGAGATGTTCAACCTGCCAAGAGGCTGCCAGGTAAACTGTAGTAAACAGCCCTTGTCAGCTGATCCAAGGGTAGATGCATCGGAGTACACCCGTTGATGTTACATGACAACAGCATTTTGGAAAAGTTATTTAGGAAAAAGAACATCTCCTCTTACCCACAGGTGCCACAAGTATCTCTTCAATGTAGGCCCACTCCAAATCATGCTGAGGTCTGAGAGACCAAGCTGAGTTATTTGCAGCCCATCTCATAACTCCCCGAGCTCCACCCATGCAGTGTGGCCAGTGAGACTCCTGTGAAGTCTTCTGTAGAATTCAGAAGACTTATTCCAGATAGGTCTAGTCTTATCATAGATATTCTTAATCACGTAGCTGTAGAAGGTGAAGAGTTACATAGCAGTGCCTCACACCTCTTGTTTGCCAAGGGGGTCCGCACACCACTTGGGATGAACTAGAAGATCACAGCTCCTTGCACATGTGGTCAAACCAAGAAATACCCTGCTCTGACATGAAGTTTTCTTCACAAGGATGTGCTCTCCAAGAAGCAGCTTTAAGAAAGGTCATGAATGCGCACTTATGAACTTATCTATAAACAGCCTGTGTCAGTGCCAGTCCACAGAATTTAAAGAAGAAATTACACATTAGCCTGCTCTGACCTCCTGAGTACCTGAGGCCACCGATTTCCAATTACCCCCGTACTGAAGACGGTCACTTCTCTAACGCCTCCCGTGGCTCTACCACACACAGCGGAGATCTGCCACTCTCAGCTCAAAATGTACCCTGTGGTGGGCTTTAAAGGAAAGCAACATCCACACAGATCTATCAGAAGGAAAGTTGCGTTATAGCATTAAGGAACAACAGCACAGAAGGTGTACTCAGCAGAACACACACAACCTTGGGTTGCATCAAAGAGATGGGGCTGACAGACAGCGTAACCCAGCTGAAATGCTTATTGCATTGAAACGTGCACATACACACATCTTCCAGTTATGAAGACAAGGAGAATTAGAGTGCCTTTGGATTCAACACAGAGTTACCATATTGCCTAATGCTTGTAATTAGAGGGCAGAATGGATTGGGAAGTTTACAAGCATCTCGTTCAATGAGGAACAGGGGATTTGCATGCACAGCTTGCATAAGTGTTACAGGAGCTACCAGCAGAAATGTCTGAGGAGTCAGTGGGAAAGTAGATGTTGCAATTAAACACCATCACACAATTATCGAAATAACCGAAGCAGCACAATAACCACTCAATAGAGGTGATAGAGGTGAGCCTCCTGCGTACCAGTGCAATACCCTGGAAGAAATACGAATTTTCCAAGACGAGCTTTCAGGAAAAGATCATTATCGTCAAAAGCAGCCTGAGTGCCTGCAGAAACTGGGAGTTACCCCAAAGGAGCATGTGGTGGAATGGAAACAGCCACGATGCAAACGCTGATGCTTGTATCTAGGCACTAGGATCTGGAAGACGCAGATCTCTGCTGCAGTGACGGGAGTAACTACCTTTCTTGCTGCAGTCCCTTACTGACTGCTCCCTCTGGAAATGTGTGCCTGCTGGGCTTCCCTCTCTGCCAGCAACTAGCATGCAGATGTTGAGTGCAAATAAAAGCAAGCACCAATGCCTCAGTCACAACAGCTGCTCTTTACAGTTGTCAGCGTATTTTATAGGTAGACAGAGCTAAAGGTAACTTTTAAACTTTAAAATTAACTCAGGCAAAGAAGGCTCAAACCTTACCCCAACCAACAGTCAAACCAAACTGGGGCAAAACTGAATTTTATTTGGAAAATACAATTCATCATCACTTTCTCAAACTAGCCACCGATTTCCTGAGTAGTTTCATTTGATAAACAAGGGAGTGAGCTGTATTAATAGCCTAGCTAACTGCACAGTACCCTTTTTTTCTCTCGGGGGCGGGGGGGGGGGGGGGGGGGTATG